AATTTCGAATATAACAACGTGAACTAGAGAATGCGATCGACGAAATTTGCAGTATCTTCTCATTAAATATCATTCAAGAATGTGTTGAAAAGATTTAGAAAGTATATCAATAGTTTGTATCTTCATATTAAATTTTTCTATGTACAATAAACATCTAAACTTGTGTTATTTATACATATCCGAGAAAACTTCTTTTGATCATATATTGTATATTTTAGATGAAAAATACGATGGGTAGTGATTTTGTCATTGGTAGATAGAATTAAACGTGTATGTGATGCTATCTATATGCAATAGAAATAAAACGATTTTTTTTTCTTATTTTTAAATAAACTAAACGATTTACAAGTTTCCTTCACTTTTCTTTAGTTATATTAGCAGAATTATAATTGTCTCATATTCCTATTCTTTCGAATAGTTGAAACTGATGCTTCAAGTCCATCGACATTGACAAATTATTGAATAATATGATATCTTTGGTTTTTGCTAAGAGTTTTTATCGAATTCTTTCAGGTTAGAATAAACGAATTAATTTGACACTATTTTATAGATAATAATTCTCTTAGCAATGATTTCACAATGTGACGACTCAAATAACTATCGTTAAGACATTCATATGTATAATTGATTAATAATGGTCGACAAACATAATTATTCATTCATGTGATATTATCACAAAGATTCGTCATAGATTGACAATGAATGTGTTGTCAGCCATCTTTACAGGCACAATTAAATGTTGTATTCAATATTTCACTACACGAATATGCGAAGAAAAAAACTATTTTAGAATTTATTGTTCATATAAATTATGGATTGTTAGAAACATTATAATGAAGATCAATATATGCCAAAGCATGGGAAGGTCGTGGAACAGATGAAGATGTTTACTGTGGCACTAAAAAGTCAAGAAAAAATTAGAAATGCACTAACGAAAAATATTATAAAAATATATGTTTACTGGTAAATTCAACTGTTGACGTTGTTTCGGTGATTGTTATTGTAGTCGTTGTCTCTGGAAAAAAAAGTTGGTTCTAGAGCTGATTGGATGATTTCATTTATGATGAGGTAACTTAGTAATGACCGATGATGTGAAAGCTCAGTTTTAATCTCAAGACCTATCTACGAGATTAAAAGTACAGTCAACATCAAAATTTTCGCATCACTTTCTGGTTTTAAGTATTATAACTACATAACATTAATTTAATTTGATCATATGCCTGTGTACTAGGGATGAAGAGCTAACTATAACTAAATATTAACTTATTCTCCAGTTGCTTTGATCATAATTTCTTAATCACTCGGAACTAGAATAGAAACTGAATCAAAAAAATACACAAAATGCAGGTTACGTTTTATTTTTTTCTTGAGGATGTCGTCTGAAAACGTTTCAAGAGTCTTATTCATGCTCATAGCACAATCTGACGAGCTTTACAACATGCCTTTCATACGTCATACATATAAAAAATAGATGACAATAATTCATGCAGCACTCCAATCTGTTGAGAGAGAGAAAAAAGAACAGTTTATCGATGTATTTTTCGGTAGGAGCAATCATGTCTTTCAATAGCTATAACACATTTTATTTATAGGAATGACAAAACTAAAAGCATTTATGACGCAATTTTATAAAGTATTGTTAAATGTTCTTTCCAGTGAAAACGAAGTATGAATAATCACTATTTCATAAGTAACAGAGTTGGAAATTTCTAACTCAAGCAACATAAATAGACACAACAAGACGAAAAAAAAGCATTCAGAATTATTTTCGTTTTAATATTCGCATAGCTCAATCCAGCTCAAACATTGAAAGGTATGTGCAACACAAAGTTTTGTTTTTTCTTCATTACTTATCTATTGCATAAAATTAATCGCAAGTGATAATTAACCTCTTTTAGAATATTTCCAATTAGCAAAAGCTACATTCGTTATTAGTGAAATTTTCGTGTGACTTTTTGTATTTTAGTAAATTTTATTCAATGACCGCTTCCAAAACTTTTATACTTTGTAACAAGATGTAGACTCATTCTAGTCTGTAAAATTAGATTCGTTGGAATTTGGATAAGATATTTGTAAACATCATTGTCAGAGGTCTTTTCTAAAATGTTTTTTCCAATAATTTCTGTCAATTAATTTACGTTTTCGACGCGACATGTGACATGACTCATTCATTGGGGAAAATTTCAAAACTTCACTGTTACTATAGATCTTATCAACAGTTGTTATTGAGTCATTAAATTAGTAATACCAAGAGATAAACAGTGGGTATTTTAACACAGCGTGCACTCCTTCTGTACCAATACGAAAAAACGTCATGACATAGTTATTGATTTAAAGTAGCCGTTGCAAAGATAAATCCAAGCGACACACTGTGAATAGGAGCAAGAGATGAATAATTCGAGATATTACAGAAATGTAAGAACAAAAAACTTCACTAGTGGAGAGGCAGGATATAAAAGTAACGTCAGCAACGAAATAGATTGTTTATTATCAGCCAAATATTAACGATGAACAATTGTTATGAAATGATTGCTAGGAATTATTAGTGATTCTCTGTGATTTTCAAAGATGTTTGATGGTTTTTCGTCATTTCAAGTGACCCTTCATTTGATGACAATGACTTAGAAATCCCAAAAATCATAAACCATACGTTTGCTGAGAAGATCGCCATGATTTCATGTTTGAAAAAATAATGGAATAGATATTATGAAGAAATAAAAACTGATTTTTCTGATTTAGAATCTACAAAAGTTTTCTACAACATATCTCAAGAAACCTGAAAAGATAGCAAAGCTTTTGAAGATTCTGAATTAAAAGCATCAGTTCTATTATCTATATAATTTCTATCCATTCGTTTTCGTAGGAAATCATGCTTACTTTTTTTAGTGAAAGTATCAAAAAAAAGTTACTTTTCTTTAGGACATCAACATCGTAGTACGCATTGTATTTGAAAATACAAGGATATGAAGAAAAATAATCTGTTAGTCATTTTAGCAATTGCTTTACTAAGTGAGTTTTTTCCTTATTTCCATTTGGGAACTTATTAATTACAAAATTACTTGAAGATTATTGCGAAAATTCGGTTGGTACTGCACAATTACCCGGCGTGTGTTACATGTATGGTAATCGTCATCTGATTCCTTTCGCGCAACAGCCTGGTGGAGATCACGCGCAGTATTTGTGTCAACAGAACGGCGATCAAACATTGATTTCAAATAAATATGTTCTTGGAACAGTTAACGTAACAACAAATCCATCCTGGAATGAGAATGTAATGGAAGTTTCTTTCAATCTCGAGCAAGAATAAGGCTAAATATTCTCTTTCCATTCTAGTTTCGATTCGAATTCTATGAGGAATCTGGAGAACTGATTTGCATTATCACTTCGCAAAATTATCGTTGTGACGATGCATCTAGACATATGTCGCGCTCATCGAATCAATATGATAAAGTACTATATTCATGCTTTTCATTTTCAATAAGTGTTGTAATTCATCGTTCACTCACCGCAGTCCATATTTATTATCGATACTCACCGACAGAGGATCTTCGAATTGAAATCATCATTTATGTAAGTACAATCGTATCGTTGTAACAATTTCTGTTATTCAATACTTGCTAGGGCATCGGTGGCGGCCGAACTGTTAATGACATTCAGATCATGCAACATGATTCATTGATCCATCGTTCGTCTGGTTTGTGTGTGGCATTTAGCCGTACTTGTGATTTTGAGAACGGTGTACGCGGTAGTCGAAGACGGACTTTCACAGCCACACTAGCGGCACAACTGTGTAGTATCTTTCTGAAGAAAGCATACAATAAGATCAAGGAGCTTTTTATTCCGGCTTCACAAACATCTGTGAGCCATGCTAAAGCCGCTTGTATCAGAGACCTAAGAGTGTCTAATAATAAAGCGGTAAGTCATTTTGAAATCATAAATACATTCACTTCTATGTTTTCTTTTTATAGTTTGCTACAAGTATGATCGTATTTCTTCTTCATGATGGTCTCTATCGAAAGACCATGAACAATGTTCTATTCGGAAACCAAGCCTTGCAGATCGTTCAAGCTATTAAACAAGCAAGCGCTAGTGCACATCGAGAAGCAATGACTCTTATTACAAATACCACAATGAATCTTGCATAAATAGACAGTGTCCAGTAATTTTCAATTCGAATTTATATTATATTGGCTTTTATATTAATTCAGATTGTTTTTTTATTTTCTCAATGTAATTATCTGTTTGATTGATAATATGAGAGATGATTCCATGTGAGAATCTAGCTGCTCACCTCACTCAAGATAGTACAAATAAAATTTTACGGCAACATACTATTGTATAAAGGAAAGTTGGCAAAGACCCAGAAGGTGTTCATTTTACCTAATGTCTTATAAAAAGCCCTCGCCTTCATATACTCTCTAAAACTTATGTAAACTGGAAAGATCAGCTTCCAAGGATTGTCATGTGTATCGTGCACGGTTCCCATAATGATGCCAGAAGATGTGAATTTTCATTTGTTTACGGACGACATGTGACACTCACAAACGCATAAAACAACAAGAGTGTTACGATTGAAATGATTGTTGTGTAAAACAGAGATGAATACGTTAGGTATATGACCATTTCACGCGTGGCTAAGGACAGAAAAAGTGAAAAACGACATTTTTCTGCGTCGAAATAACGCTCGTTGCAAGCAGCCTCATAATGTATCAATAGTCGATTTTTAGAGTGTTTGTGGACATACTAGAGTGACTTTTGTGTGTTAACTAGAGAAAAGAATTGGCTAGATCAAATTAAAGGGATAGGCGACGGATCCATTAGACTTGGGGAGGCTTAAGTGTCCCATAAAAATGAAGAGGAAAGCTTGTGGAGGCTCAATATTTCAGAAAATTGTACGAATCTCATTCTCAGTTTATACTAATTGTCTCAAAATATTATCAACAATGCGTTTTTGTATATATTTTTACATGGACAAATGCTAAAATCTTGAACGCTTTCCAAAAGATGCACAATCGGCGCGCTCTACAACAACTGTATCAAAAAATCTGTCAACATACTCTGATGGTTTTTTAGCAAACTGAAAGAAAACACATACAAAAAGGTTTCTAATGTCCATTAAATTGACAATAACAAACACATATCAAATAATATCTATTGTTCGTTTATTTTCGTATAGAAAAAATGATAAACTTCGACAGTTTTTCAAAATGTATCGTTAAAATCACTATAGTACTTAAAGACAATCATTTTCTTGGCTTATTATAATCAACTTTGAGATAGGTAATGGTAAAGATGTACGAGGGTTTATAATTTTGCACTATAACTGTGAAGGGTGTAGCTGTGGCTGTGGGCCTTATTTCAATTCACAGCCACACCAGCCTACATCAACATCCACAACGAAACCCATACTCACACCCCACACCCAACCACACCTACACTCATACCCATACTCACGCCCACAGCAACACATTCACACCGTAATCTTTATTAGTGATATACTTCATACACTGTAAATATGATCTCTCAAAAACTAATCCCATTTTAGATGTCGCCATACGTTGTGCATTTGTCTTTGGTTGGCATTTCTCCCATAGCTTTATATCACCAAACTACGTACTGTTAATTCTGACACATTCAACATAAGACAGCAGAAAAAAAGAAAAAAAAAGGTTTTGTGTAAAAACAAAACGAATGAGATGCACGATACGTATTGCGTAAGTTTTCTTCTCGTAACGTCTAAAGTGAGTAACAAACATTTATTTTTCTCATGAGTCAGAACGATAACAATGTTTGTTGCGTTGAAAAGAATGTTAAAGAAATTAGATTTAATATGAATAAATTAGTACAAGTATGGAAAATAATGATTTATAGAAATTCACGATTGACAAAGCATGATATTATTTTTATTATGATTGATACAGACGGACAAAAAAAACCTTTTCTATCCTCAATATCAGGAATAGTTAACAAATTATATATTAATCAATTAGATTATTTATCTTATGGTTCGATTATTCTTGAATATTCTGAATGTAAGCACAAAATAACTTTCAAGAATCTATGTTGTGATTGTGGCATTGATTTAAATCAATTCGATAATACATTACCAACATCAGATTCAACGAAAATCGATATATCAATGGAACCTTTATCTATCGAAGCAACCATCAGTCGGGAAGAACCACTAAGATATGATTATGAAGAACATAATCATCTTATTAATAAACGTAAACTTAATTTATTAATTAATGTTGATAATACACTTGTTGATACAATAACTTCAAAATTTCATTATCCATTTTCATCCGATGTAATTGATTATCAAATAACTCCAATATCTCCAACATATTATACAAATCTACGTCCAGGTGTTAAACAATTTCTAATCAATCTTCGATTATTATATAAATTTAATTTAGTCACTTTTGGTGATCAATTATATGCAAATAAAATAGCCAAAATAATTGATCCCAATGGAAGATTTTTCTCTGATAGAATATTATCATATGATCAATCTATATTATCGACAAACAATAAACTCAATTTAAATAATTTTTTTCCTTATGATGATTCATTAGTTTGTATTATAGATCAACGAGAAGATCTATGGAATTATATAAAAAATCTAATTTGTGTTAAACCATACATAGGGTTCAAAAGAGATAATTCATCGAATGATAGTTATCAATTCACTCAAAAATTAAAAGAAGATAATAATGATCAAACTACGATCACCAATCATCTTACAGATCAAGATTATTATTTACAGAAATTAGAAATTATTTTGAAACGTATTCATACAGAATTTTATAATGAATATGATAAATGGATTAAAGAAAAACATGGAAACATACCGGATTTGAAGGAAATTATTCCTAATACTCGTCAACAAGTACTCAATTCTGTCTCGTTGTGTTTTTCTCATTTAATGCCACCAAATTTTCCTATAGAAAAACATCGTGCATCGATTATGGCACAATCATTAGGAGCAAAAGTTACTAATGATCTTCAATTCAATTCTAATGGTACGATTCAAACGACACATATCGTTGCTGGAAAACCAACACTTAAAGTTTATTATGCAAAAAAATACAATGTTAAAGTTATTACACCGGAATGGTTAATTGATTGTTATCAACAATGGGAACATAAACTAGAAGATAATTATATTCTAAACAAAGATTATCAAGTTCAAAAATCAAAATTATTCATGAAAGAAGAATATACAATATTTAGAAGACATTATTATCATCATCTACAACAACAACAATCACAGACATATCAAATAAATAATACTAACTTTTATAATAAAATTGCATCGGAAGGATTATTCGATCAATATAACTTCACTGTGACTACCAACGAACGATTTAATATTGAAAAAGGTGTGAATGATCTTTCCATAGAAGATCAAAATGATGATAATACTATATATACACCTCCAACCAAACAACAACGTACAATGAATATCACACAGATTATTGACAAAAACAAAAATAAAATTACTAACGAACATTTCCATTCAGATCCATCAACTATTTATATATTCAATAGTCTCAATTTAGACGATAAAGATAAACCAAATATCGATGAAGAAAATTTTCATCATACTGATCAATATCATCATTAAAAATAATTTCACAAATATAAATCATTATCGTCACATTTAATCTTTTTTTGTTCATGGAAATTAGTATCTATTATTCATATTTTTCTTGACAATATATATGATCAAATCACGACTCATTTATATCTTTTATCACTAAGGTTTTAATTATTATATAATTATATACATGGCAAAATTATTATACTATATATATATGTGCTTCCATAAATTAAAAGTTTTTCTTCAACCTTCATCATATTAAAGGTAAATTTAATTAAAATACAATGAGAATTTGCGCTAATTTTAAAGATAAATATTACTCCAGATAAGAAATTATAATATACATGAATGACACATTATACAACTAAAATTAATATTTAAATTATTTAATAAGATCTATTGAGAAAGTTCTTCGATTGTTTTAATTAATATATCTTTGCAGGCATTCAATCAATTTCAACAAATAAAGAATCATTTTAAAGAGCATTTCGAAGTCTAATTGTTGTGTAAAAATAAATATTTGAGCTTAAGAAATAAGAGAGATAGAAATATGAGAATAACATCAATATTTTTCGCACATATTTTTTACCCATGCTGAAAAGTGTTTGCACAACATGATTGTTAAATTCTCGGCCACAAATAACTCACTGAAGATAATAAAAGTTAGCGATCCAGAATGATCACTTGATGCTCTTTCGAAATATGTCTTAAAATTCATTTTCTGATTTATTGTTAATTCATTACGAACAAATTGTTGAAGAAACCAAAAACGACTTTTGTAAAAAGCGATCAGTTAACAGATCTTAGGAGATACGTTTGTTTATTTTTCTGACATCTAATTGCCATTGAAGAAAATGAAAAGTATTTAGTTAAAGTCAGAATTTGATGCTATTTTCAAATGGACTTTCACAATTTTTCTCTGACTTAACGCTGATAAATTTTGAGTAAACACCTGAAAAAAATGACAAAAAATGTTTGCATCCAGCAAAGTTGATTTTTTCTCTCATTAGAATTTTGCTATTTAAAATGAGAAAAAATTTGGTCCATTGTAATAGGATATAACAAGAATAAGAAATAATGCATTTTATAGAGTAACCTTCGCTCTATTAACTGATCTACAAATATACTTTCTCATAATCTGTAACAACACAATTTTAATTAAAATACAATAGTAGGATGCATAAAAAATCCTGTATTTTGGTTTCTTTAAAGATTTTCTCTTAATGAACCAATCATAAATGCGAAAAATAATTTTGAAGATATATTTCGAAAGAGGATGAAATTTTTCCCATGCAGCAATTTTTTTCAATGGGTAAATCTCATCCTCAATCAATATTAAACCAAACTAAATTAAAAAATTTAATCGACAATTATCGAATATAAAAGAGATCGATTAAAATTCTCAATATTATTAATTAAGAATTATGGAACTTTTATTTAACCATTAGCATCTGTCAGTTGTTTTCCAAGTTCGTATAATTTATTTAAATAACTTCTGGATGAATTTCTTTTTGTGTATTAATATTTTTAATATTTGATAAATGATAATATCGTTTTATTATCCATATATAGCCTTTATAAATCCATACAGCAATAACAGATCCAACAATTGGACCTAAAATAGGCATTCAAAAGAAATAATTGTTAGCACGAAGTACATCATTATAACCATAAATAAATAATCCAAAAAGACGCGAACCAAAATCATAAGCCTAAAATTTAATAAATATAAACAATTCTATATAGTATGTTATGTTAATATATCCGTACAGGATTAATTCTAGCTCAAGCATTTATTGAAAATACACTAACAATACCTGTAATTATTAGTGAAAATGCAAATAGTTTGGCAACTTCTGATATCATATGATTAAAATCCTATATTGAATAATTAATTAATTAATTAATTCTTTATCTAAATTAATTGTATTACTTGTGTAAGTGCCATAATAAATATCAGTAGTAAACCAGTACTAACAACTTGATCAATAAATGTATTCCAATGAGATATATCTTTACCAGACACTGTAAAGAAAATATCAGCTGTATCATTGAAACCTGTTATTTCTCTTATTCCATCATCAAATGCATCGAATTGTTTGTAATAGACAAGATAGACTAGGGCAACACCTCAAAATACTCCCAATATTTGATCAATTATGTAGAATAGAGATTGTAATGGTTTTATTTTGCGAATAGCCATTAATGATATTGTTGGGTGTGGGTGTAGGGTGTGGCTGTGGATTTGGGTATACGAGTGAGGGTACGACTGTAGCTAGGAGTAGACCAGCTCAGCTCACGAACTCCGTTCAAATGAGCTAAAGAGCTGTTCGAACAGTTCTTCTGAGCGAACTAAACCGTTTTCAAACAGTTCGTTTCAAATGAGCTGAACTGTTCGAACAGCTCATTTGAACGAACTGAACTTTTTGTAGAGGTACCCATAGGTCCTCAAGGACTGTCCTACAGGGGTTCGGGCTAATCCTTAGGTTGTCGATGACGCTCTATCGATTGATGGGTATATGTGTGGGTCTCAGTCGTTTCTTTTGTGATAAAATAGGGTGTGGGTGGGTGTGGGTATGGATGTGAGTGTGAGTGTCAATTTCGTTTTTAGTCATATCCACACCCACACCCTGCTTTCGTTGGTCTCTTGTTTTTAAGAAAAAAAAGCATCTGGAACTATCTTTTTATCGTCTTGCTTCCGTTTAAGACTAAATTTATTCTTAAAAAAAACATACAGAATGATTTCATTATTATCACATCGAAAAACATAATTAGATGAATTAGTTTTATCAAAAACAAATCAGAGTTCGCTTTGCTGACAATTTCAATATTGTCTTCAGGCAATCGATCACAGTAATACAAAATAAAGTCAAATATTAAAATGAGCTTAAGTAATTACATAACTATAACTTGAAAAATGGTTGCAATCATGTTATATTAAATAAGATTATTTCAAATCGATTGTAAATAAATAATGTGTCAAAATAATTTTATTTTTATTGGAATAGTGACATAAAGTAATTAAATAAAATTATTTTAGTGTAATTTGAATGTATATAAATAACTCTAATACAATAGTTTTATTTTAATCGAACAAAATCAATAGTCACATTCAATTAATTTCTGTTAAATATAATATTAAAAAATAGATATTAGGTTAAATTGATTTTGGTCTAAAATAAAAATACAATAAATCTATTAGATTAATTTCATTTTAATTAGAATTACATATTGACATTGAATTGCTTTCATTCTAGTATAACATAAATTAAGTAATACTATGAAATAAAATTAAAAATCTAGTGTGATTAAATCGATTTCATTGTATTTTAATTAATAAATAGATAATAGTATTAGATTATTCTAATTTAACGGAAAATAAGCCAATTATTGATATTTAATGGAATTTATTTTGGTTCACATTGATTTAAAATAAATAAAAAAAATAAATATCATTTTTTCTAATTAAAATATATCATGAAAATATTGAAAAACTATTCGATGAAATAGAAAAACAGTAAAATAAAATCAGTAGAATTTTCATTGTATAAAACAAAACTGAAATAATTTTTAAAATTTGTATCTGAATATAAAATAAATTAGTCGTATTTTGAAAAAAATACTATGTACAACCTTACCCAACCGAACTGAAACGTATATAACATGATTGTAACGGTTTCTCACCTCTTTATATGATCGATTGTGACCATTATCGTGTTAGAAGTCCTCTATGTTGAAGAGTTAGAGTGAGATAATTTTGAATAATTTCATCAAAAAATAAAAAAAGATAATACTTAATTGTATTTCTAGACAAAAATATGGAGAACACATTTTTTCTATGAGCGTAAATGACTAAACCAAGTAGTGAGATATCTCCATTAACCAACAATAAGTTTGTTTAAATCAAATGCATATGATTAGTGATTTGATTTTCAGAGAGAAAAGCACCACTCAAAGATGTATTTCTAATTCGAAAAGACGTGAGTTTTAATTAGAACACATTCAATTCTTAAATAATTATTTAAACTCATAAACTATATGATTATAAAAAATATACTTGCACAAGAAAAACCTAAATTATGATCTTACAATATCATACAATATCTTATAAGATTCTGATCATCAGATTTTGCAAGAATCTTACAGCAAGAATCATATAAGATTTGTAATAGCATCTTACAGTAAGATATTTGTACGATTCTGTAAGATCATGCAGTATGAATCTTGCGACATCCGATTGTCGGTAAGATCTTGTAGGATCTTATACGATCTTTGTAAGATTTTTCCACCTGAGCTGGTCTCTGATTGTTTAGTGGATGAACGGGAGTCTATTTTGTATTTTAGACTGTATAAATGGACGCCAGTCTATTTCAGTGTCTGAGTCTCCCGTCAGATTTCGAATACTGTCGGGTTGAACGCTCGAATCCACCGTTCAACTTCTTTTTTATTCTTCCGACTAGTCTGGACGGGGTCGACGGACAAAACGGACTGGACATGACTGGGTTCAAAGACATTCTAGACTAGTCCAGATGTGTTTGAAGGACATTTCTTCAAAACGTGACTACTCATGATGGTTGCGCACGACGTTTCAGACTTGATGCGTGCTGTGGACATTTTGGGCTAGTCATGTCGGACGTCTTCCTTTATTTTTTGCTCACTTGGGAGACAATTGAATTCTGTTTTGATAGAAAGTATAACCTCTGTATTGAAATGTGTGGGTGTGAGTGTGAGTGTGTACTATTTCTCTTTAGTCACAACAAACCCACACCCAAACCTCAAGATCTATTGTTGTCTTTTGAGTCCATACTATTATCAAACCTATCTTGCATAAAATACATATTCTATATGCTACTAATTAATAAAGAAACATCAAATTGAAGAAGCAAATGTTTCTGCGAAACTGACATGCTAATCTCTCTAATAAATAGTACTCTAGTGGAAAAATTATGCAAAGAGTGTCACTTAATCAACATGAGATTTCATGTTCTACACCTAATGCAAAAAAAATAACTTCTATGAGAAAAACGTCGTCATATCAACAAATTATTTATTTATTCATCGAAAAATTTTTAATCGACAGTAAATAAAAAGAATAGAATTCAGAAAAATAGCAATTAGTCATCAAATCGTTCTTGTCATTGTATTATGATAAATTCTTTATATGTGAGATGAATTTGCACATTTATTTTGAGCAATGATCACATCGTCGATCTATGTATTCTAATTTCATACCAAAATGGTTCGATCATGCAAACCATCGTCTCTGATTCATGTTATCTTTGTACAAATTTTTATGCGTTGTGTGTTTTAGTTGCGTCTTTCATTCTTCACAAACCACTTGTAATCAATACTGTCGCGTCTTAGATCTAGTCATGGATAGATGGTTCAATAAATTCCAGATGATTAATAATGTTTTCGCTATGATATTAGATGCCAGTAAATTAATGAAATACCTCATTAAACATCCTTATTGAAGATAATAACGGTGCCAATAACTCATACAAATCATGTTTGCTTTCTTTATTTAAGAAAAAATTAATGTGAGAACTACCATCTATTATCAGCCGGATGGACGAATGAACAATATTAACAACAAGAGTCACATATTCATTCTTTTCTTCTCTCTTTAATAAGATACATGTGACTAAGAATGGAAGGAGAAGGCAAGGATATATTTTTAATCGTAGTAGTGTGTAGAATAGTAATAACGAAGATTATACTATAAGCATATTTCATTAAAATAACAATTTTATTCTTTGAATTCGTCACACTATTTCATTTATTCATTCATTCACCGGTAATCTTATATCTATATACATTTTGCAAATCACAATCATTATCAGCCACATACATAACGCTAGTCCTATTACCAAAGAATGTAGATATCGTATGTTTTTTTACATATCCGCACGTTTATTTTAATATTTTTTCATATCATTGATAAGCATTAAACATGTATATAGTCTATGTTTCATCCTCATGTTGTCGATTGTTTTAGATCAGATTGAATTTTTAAGCAGAACTATGTATTCAGTGAAACGAAAACAAAGTTTCGATGATCGTTCGAACAAGGAAACAAACAAATTACAATGTAAATTTGATCAGAAAATGTAAGTTATAAAAAGAATTTTTTTGTTTGTTTTATTTTGTTTTATATTAAATTATCATATAGAACATCTATTGAAAATTTATCTATTGAAATGTTTTATGAAATATTTGATTATCTTAATGGTTATGAAATTTATCAAGCATTTTCAAATCTTAATCATTATTTTCAACAATTAATTAATTCTTCATCACTTCTATTAAAATTTAAAATTAATTCACCATCTGCTGAATTATATAAACAACTTACACTGATAAATAAACATAAAATACTTTCATTTAATATACGATTAACATACAAAAGTAGTGAATTATTTACATCATATCTTATTGATTCATCATTAGATCATCTCGAATCTCTTGTACTTATAGAATTCAAAACAACCATACTTATTTCACTTCTTATGAAGTTAACTTGTCTACCTCGTCTTTTTTCATTAACAATCCGTACGTTTGATACATGGTATGAATTAAGTGAAATCTATTATTTAATTTTTGCTTTACCAAAATTAATATATATTAAATGTTCACCAAGCGAAGTTGGCGGAGCTATATCACTACCAATTGCTACTAATCAAAAATCCAGTACGATCGAATATATTGTTATTGATCATTTCTGTACATTACCTGAACTTTGTGCTATCTTGTCTCATATACCTCAACTTCGTTATTGTCATTTTAGAGAAGTATATGATGCTGATCCGATGAATATTGATACTACAATACAAATTAAACTGTTTAATGTAATATGTATTTCTATGAAAGATTGTGAAATTAAATTTGATACATTTGAACAATTAATTAGAGAAATAGAATGTCCATTGCAAGTGTTACATATTACTAATACATATGATGAAAACAATTATCTTGATGCTAATCGATGGAAAATATTGATATTAAATTATTTACCTCATTTAAAAGAATTTTCTCTAACATATAATACAGATATTGGAAATAAGTCTGTAATTCAATTAGATTTCGAACGTGTCAAATCATTTACTTCATTGTTCTGGATTGAACGAAAATTAATATTAGGAATAAAAATATCTCGTTATCATATTATTTATTCAATTCATCCATTCAAGTATATATAGATGATACTTTTATATTGTATATATATATTTTTATTTATCTTTTAGGAAAAGATGGTATAATATCAATTCTTTTATAGACTTTTCTAAATGTACACAACTTACTATGACATATGTTCCTGATGATGAACACATGGAATTCTTTATGAATTCGATTTGTACTGTTTTATCAATAGTAAAGATTTATCATTTGGAATTTTCTAAACGAACAATTATATCAAGTTCATTAATGAAAATTCTTACTGTATTATCTGAACTTGATTCATTGAAAATAACTTCTTTATCAATATCACAAACTCGATATTCATTTATTGATGATCAAAATTTTCGTTTAGTATCATATCACAATAAGATTACAAAAGTTTATCTTGAAAATGTAAAGAAAAGTGAAGAAGTTTATTTTCTTCTTAAACTTTGTCTTCGTATGAAATATCTTAAAGTTAATTTTATTTATAATGTTGATTATAAATTATTCTTCAGAAATTTTTTAAGAACAATAACTATTAATCGTCATCAATATCTTCAATCATTATATTTTCAAGGACTAAAAACAGATTTTCAAATAATTAATGAATTAAAAGAAATGATCAATCGTGAAAAATTACTTCGTCAATTTACAATTAATCGTGTACTTAATTATATCCATTTAGAATGGAACTTAATATAATAACTACTATGTTTTCTCTTTCATTATATTTTTGAAATAAAATTAAAAGAAATAATACGTTTTGTTTGTTTGTTTTTTTCTTAAACGTATAAAAGTATTTCAGATTAGTATCTGAAAAGTTGCTTGTAAGATAAAAGAAACTGGATATTTATACACAACTCATCAGAAGTCTCGGGACATTTGCAAAGTTTAATTTTTTTCTACCACAGATCGAACTCCGTAAACTAATTATATCGTTAGTGAGTGTCATCTCAATATTCAAAGGATGTCTAGATTTAATTCATCTATAATGTTGAAGTCACTTATTCTTGCATCTACAGCGCAGGTTTTACAAGAAACTCTTGAGACATCACAATGATTTTAAATTTAACTATTAGCCTTCATGTTCTGGTTGAAGGAATTTAAAAATTAGTTCGAATAACATTATACAGAACTTCAGAATTTATGAATTGCCCTTTTTTGTTACCTTTTATCAAAAGTCAAAAAAAGATGGAATTATTAGAACCTTTTTTGTTTCTAAATCTAATGTTCAGGTCTCTATGTGCAATCTCTCTAGGCGTAACGAGATCGTTTTTCCTACTAAGAACAAGCATAATCTAGATGAATCATCAGATCAAAATACTTTTTGAATATGGAGATCGGGTTCACTAGAGGCAAAAGTAACTCATAACTTTTAATTCAATTCTTTTTTTTAGACAATCGAGTTCGGATTAGAGATCTTGATTAGTTTTTTGAGCTCTATCTGTGATGAGAATAGTAATAATATTCAAACAGATACTAAATAGAGATAACAATGATTGAAAGTAAGTTTAATGGAAAGATTCTTAAGAAAGGACATAAGTTTGACAGTTAAATATAGAATTGTTTATCATACATAAAACAACTATTCGCAATCGAAATAACTCGATATAAATTACAGTGAAGCATGGATGTGATTTTTGGAAATAGAATAAATTTTTTTTTATTACTTCTGTCACCTGTTTGTATCGTTGTCGTCTGTTGGAGTGTATATATATAGCTGGCTTAAAATCTTATATTAATATATTAATATAACTATTCCATTTTCATTTAATCTATCGATGAGTTCTATTGAAAATTTCTCTAATGAATTTTTCTATAAAATAAATAAAGCATTTTGGGAATCGTAATCATCATTTTCTAAGTTTTCATGTCTCTTTATGTATTTAGAGTGTGAAATATGGGGTGTGCGTATAGAAAAGAGATGAATCTTCACTTGTCATCATGCCCATGACCACACCCACACTCTTCTCAGTATTAAAATATGAGTAAATGATTACTTGGACTGTTCCTTAAAATATAGGTTTGAAGTTTCTCTATCTGAAACACATGTGAAAATCAAAATTACATTGAAAAGGGACATCTTTTCATGCATTTTGCTGAATGTTTTTCGAAAATGAAGGATTTCAAAATAATTAGATTTTATATAGCATCGGTCACAAAGATGCTTTAGAGTCTTCTATATCAATTACTGAAATCTATAGATTGCTAGCTAATGCTATTCTCGAGTTATATGACTTGTATTCATTCCATTTTTATTCTGACGCGGGCATTAGAAAGTGTTTTATATATTAAAATAGCAGGAATTGCACATCTAGTTTTTCTTCTTTTCAACATTGATAATTATAAAACAGAGTTTTCATCGATTGCAATCACGATAAATAGTTATTTTTCTTGTCTTTCATTAGATCAAATAGTTCTCGATTGTTTTCCATCAAATTGTATCTTAGAAGAACGTCATATAAATATATGACGATATAAAGGATATGTTTTCTAAATTTGAAAATTTATTATTTAATGAGGGTATGACCGATTATAGTATTTTACAAAATATATTTGATAATCTATTTGTTAATTTTTATACGCGATCAATTCGATGCATTCCAACAAACAACAAAAACATTTAGACGAAGGCAAGAATATTTTAACGGTATTCTTGAGGATACATTTGATGATGGATTATTCGTTGTTACAAAATCAAGAAAGAAGGGTGTGGGTGTAGGTGTACTTGTTTTACAATCGGCTCAACATCCACCCACACCCTGTTTTCATTTTTTACCTAATGGTAGGAGATCACCAGACTAAAATCAATGCGAGGAAGAGGAGATTTTAGTCGATCTCAATCAAAAATTATCCAAAAAAATTACGGAAATCTGGAAAAATCCATAATATTCTGAAACATCTCAAAAATACAAAAAGAAATCGAAAAACTCTTTCAGGATTTAGGAACTCTATGAAATTCGGGGTCCGTTGTTTATCCGAGATACGACCAAAGTTTTCAATAAAGTTGTACTTTTGAATTTCGACTAAAACATTGTTCAAATAATGGTCTTACTTATACTACTAGCTCACATTCAAAATTTCAGAATTTCTGAACAGTTTCTCTTTAAGATATGAATTTTTCAAAATTCATGCGTTTTTCGATTGATATCGTATAAAACATGGAAATTTTGAAACATTTAGTCAAAGTTGATAACTTTGACCAGTATTTATGAACTTCTTTTATAAAAATAAAAACTTAGAATTCTCCTTTATTATTAGAATAAAAATTACCTCATTTGATTAAAACATGACGAAGATATTTACTTAGGGCAGTCAAAAAAGTAGTGAAAATGATACTGTAATTCGCTATAAAAAGCTTTAAGAAACTTTGTCTCTGTATAATCTGATAGAGAAAAGAATGCTCTATTTTTCTATGCTATTCGATTATACTTCAACTAATATTATAATAATGAAATTTCCATAAGACCTACTTTTCTATCATACAAGACAGTTATACGAATGTCTATTTAGTAGATAGTTTCTGAATAACCTTTGATAGAAGCTAGCTAGAGAGCTACGATTTTCATCATTTGAAAGAAGAAATGAAGATGTATCGAATCATAAATTATAGATTTTTTAACATGACTGTTTTAACATTTTGAATAGACTTCTTTGAACAAAACCTACTCAGTGAAATGTTTACAGTGAATTCTTAATTGTCATATGTTTAGAATTAATCATTCAAAAGTTATAGGTATTCTAGTCGAAGCTTTAAGTTTATTTTTCTAGCAATTTCTGTAAAAAAAAATGATGTTTTGGCTGTCTCTTTTTTGGTAAGAAACCATTTTTTCACACTGACAACCATACTAGGGAAACATATAATATACGATTCGATGCATCTTCAGTTCTTCTTTCAAATGATGAAAATCACAGCTCTCTAGCTAGCCTCTATCAAAAGTTATTCAGAAACTATCCACTAAATAAACATTCGTATAATCGTCTTGTATGATCGAAAAGTGGGTCATATCGAAATTTCGTTATAAGGAGTTACCGTATCATTCTCACTACTTTTTGACTGCTCTAAGTAATCTTCGTTTTGGTCAATGAATTTACGGATGCCTTGTATATATAGAAACGAAAAGTAGACAAGCAACTGCTATTATCTGCTCATCTGTATGCCTAGATTTTATCCTATAAATGTCACTTACTGATTGTCTTTTTAAAGCTATTTTATATACAAGAAAAAAAGGATGAACGTTTTAATCGTAATTATTAGTTTTCTCTTTTAACCAGTATCCAGGCTAGTCTACCCCTGGTTACACCACTAACCAACCCGCTGCGAGATGATAAACGTTTGCTTGTTCTTTCTCTCATTTTCCTATTTCTTTTCTCTTTTTCTTCCTTCTTGTGCAGTGTTCATCGTTCTCGTTTCATTCATTAAGATAATAAGCCACTACTGAATAAATTGCTTCGTTATAGAAACGTCGGCATTCTCAATGGGAAACTTGTTTGCTTGCATTAATCTATTGCAAATGATTTCCACGAGTTTTAATTGATGAAAATCGATTAAAGAGATTTTCATCCTATATCACAGATTAAAACCTACACAATTCCTTTCAATCGATTGATAATTACCATAATCTATTATTGAATTATAATGGATTTTAATCTGGTTTTTTCTTTTAACAAAAATCATCCATCGTGTTAAAAAATCCGATTTTTACGGTCCTAGTAAAAAATAATAGTGATAATTGCTCAAAATTTTTCCATGAAGTAGCTTCATGTCAATTGTAGCATTCCTTTCTGAACATTACGACCTTAAGTCATTATTGTTATTCTTTGAGTGGTCAACAAGACGAGTGCGTGCGTGTTTACACAGCTCTATCTAGCTTCTATTTTTTTCTCTCTCTCGATTATTTTAATTGCTCTAAATACCACTGAAACAAGCAAAAACCTACGCAGCACTCATGTGCATATCATTTCACAGAAACTTAATGAATAGTATAACATCCACTAGATTCCGCACTGTCATTATACAAAAGACCGTCATGCAAGATGAGAAACATTGAGTTAATCAGACGAAAAAGAAAATGTGAAAGCCTTGCTTTCATTATTCTTTTCCTTTTCATTTTATCCATTCATCCAAAGTCTTGATGTTTTGAAGTAAGAAACATTAATTATATGCATTGATCTTCCATCTTCCGCAAAAATTCATTAAAAAAGTGAATCTCTCTATACTTTTTTCATTATCAAGAAATATATTGTCATCATTACAGTAATATACAAACCATCAGATGAGATCTAATATTGTGTCGTAGTTTCAAAAGACACAATGTCATGATTACTGTCAGATCATTTCTTGCAAAAGATTACCCATTTTTTCTTATTTCAGATTAGATGAAATAGAATTTCAAACATTGCTACACTTGTTATAGTCTCTGTATTCATATACTATTTATCTCTTGAATCTAATTTGAAAGGATGCATTCAAACATTTCAACTACTATCGATATAGATATTGCGCGTCTCGATGATAGATTACGTCGGCTCAAAATTTTCATAAGTTTATTCTATCTGATTTTTGGCAATTTTGGAAATTTATTTAAAGTATTCTTCTTTCTACAGAGACCTCTCAAAAATTGTCCATGTACTGTATACATTCTTGTTGCTACATTCAGTGATTTTATGACTCTTAACAATATTCCAATGCTCAAACTATTCACCAACCTTTTTCCATCGAATCAATGGATTATCAGCTTGGGTTGGTCTCTTTCGTCCAATACGACATTTGCAAACTCATCTCGACCTTCTTCAATAGATATAAACATGTGCAAAGCTCTCAGTTATTTGCATATGTGCAGTACCGATATTTCTTTTCAATTACTTCTCCTTGCATCGATTAATCGTTTTTGTTTCAATTTGAAAAGAACAAGTCGAAAGAAAGATCGACGATTGATTAATTTTTTTTGTAACCTTTCGAATACATACAAAATCTGTTTGTTCATTTGTGTCTTTTGGAGCTTCGTTTCTCTTCATCATCTGTTCAATTTTACGATTATATCAAATACTTGTGTTCCACGTCGTATCTTTTTGTGGACTGTATGGATATCCAGCGTGCATTGTTTTCAATCCGCTCTGATGATTCTTTTCGGTGTTTTAACACTTATTATTAGACGAAAAAATCCAGCCGTTAGTCGTCGTCATTGTCGTTATTGTCACACACGTACATCAATATTTGTAAAAATATGCCAACGATGTGTTGATCTTAGGCAAGAACGCTATCACGTTGAAACACAACTTACTTCGATGATTATTGCCGAAATTGTCCTCGCTGTACTGACATCTTTGCCCTATGCTATCTATGTGATATATCGGTCGATGACAATGACAAACAAACGAAGTGCAATACAAAAGGCTCAAGAGAATTTGTTTGAATTATTTGTGAGAATGACAATGTATTTTGAGCCAAGCTGTGGATTCTATGTTTATTTGTTCACTTTAAAGACATTGAAGAAAAGATTTTTCAAGATTTTATTAGTCAAATTAAGAGGATACTAAGAAAGTTGATTTGTTTTGATTGGAGGATATTGAATTTTCTACCATTATGTTTAATGGTTTCTGATGTTCACGTTTGTTGTCCGACTGAAATAAAATGAGGGAGCCCGCTAATAAATCTTGTAACCATATTAAATTCGTTCAATTCCTACATTTGCTTGTACACTTTTATTCTCATTCTCTTTTCATACAAATTATACTTAAAAGAGAGTCTGTCAAAGGACTATCCTAGGCAGCCGGGAAAATTTTTGTTTTTTAGATTTTATTATCTCAAATGAGAGCTCTAGTCAAACCATAGTCAAATCCAAAACATTAGGTCATTTGGCTTTACCTGTGAAAAACACAAGCTGAAACAAGGTCGATGGGTCGGTCTATTTGACCCCTAAAAATCGCTATGTTGAGGGCACAGTAGGCAAGTTTCGCATAGCAGGCGGACATGCAATTGTTTTGCTTGGAAACGGAGTTATACTAGCCGGAACGAGTTATATATCACCTTTAACAAAATAAACCATTTTTTGAAAACAAAAACGTTTTTTGCGAAAACCATCCGGGGAGACTCTTGCACTAAGTTTTCGAAAAATGTTTTTTCCTCAGAAAATATATCGTGCTGTACCTCATTCGATGTAGTTTCGTGCGCTGGTTCCGAATATCACGTTCTTTGTATATTATGAAGCGATCCTAATGGAAAAAATTGAAATTTCCAGCTCAAAACATCTGATTTAAGGTGTTTTTAAACTCGCTCTATAATGAAAAAGTACAAGAACGTTTTGTCATTATTTTCTTTACGAAAGAGTAAAATTTTTTACTTATTGTTATTTAGTTTGATGAATTGTAAAAGAAAATATATCTATTTATGAATGTCAAAAAGAATATCTTTGACATATTTTTCTTGTATTTCCTTTTTTTTCAATGTAATATATAACAATCTACGAACTATAAAATATAATTTCTTCAGTAAAACATACAAGCATATAAATATTGGATAAAATCAGTCATCGGACTACCAGTGCTCGAGAATCAGGACGATATATATCATTGTTCATATATGTAAAACTTATAGGGCGTAACCCTTGCGGGAGGTAAAACTGCACAGGTGTAAAAGGAATGAAATAGTAAAATACTTGAAATCAATCTTCAAGTTTGACACTACTGATACTGTATTGTCTAATTCGAATATGAATGAAGTTCTGACAGCCTCATATCATTTCGAAAATAAACCAAAAGAACATCAAAATGGCACTTTCCTGTTAGTTTATGACAAGCAAAAAAAGGAAAAACTTTTTTCTCTCAATTGTACTGAAACTTTCGCATGAATCTCAGTACAAAGTACACTTAGCCTATTAGAATCTCTTGAGGAAATTACAGAAAAGAAGAGGGTGTGGGTGGGAGGTGTAGAGTAAACTGATACTCACATCCACACCATCATCGAATATTTAGGTGATTATTCAAGCGCTTCTTGAGCATAGAAGTGACCGCAGAAGAATCCTAAGGTTTGATCAAGTTTCAGCTCGAGTATTTTCAAATATCATTGAACTTCTTTTAGAATGCTTGAGTGTGGGCATGGATGTAGATATGATTATATTCTGTTTCGCTAACACTCACACTCACCCAAATGTAGCACAAATTGAAGTTAGAGTTTAACTTTTATTATTGAAGTTGAATGTGAGTGGGGGCGTTAATAAACCAGGTGTGAGTGTGGATGTTGGTGTTCTCTTCTGCTTCTTTAACACCTATACGCACTCACATCCACACTCCCCATAATGGTTCTAGTAAAACCACTGATAAACTAACTATAGAAATCGAGTATTGACTCCTCTAGTATGCTGAAGGTATGAACAGATCGATTGAATACCCAAGTTCTTGTGCAGAGTGCTCTGTTTATTTTTCCTATTTTTTAAAAATTATGAATTTTATTAGTCCTATATTTCGTAGACAAAATGAAGAACTGAAATATACTTTACAACAGCTGATAGTCCATGAAGTTTGCTACAAAATTGTTTTTTCCAACTTTTGAAATTCTATGTATCGTTTTGTTTTGGGAATCAATTTTCAAATGGCTAATCCATTGGCCACTGGGAGGGGAGGGGAATAAAGAGTTAAAATAATACTTATCGTTCATATTAGTACATTGATCGATCGACGCTCTCGATTGCTTCGATAGTTTCTTCAATATAACTGGTGACCCATAATAAATGGGTGTAGGTGTGTGATATCTGTTCATCCTCACCAACACAAAAACTCAGGCACACATCGACACTCCACACCCTCGACATACTCTAGGTATCATGGTAGTTATAACCCACCCTCAAGATAGACAAGCGACGAGCAACGCCAATCCTAAAAAAGAAAAGATATATTTTATTTTGATAAGATATATAAAAGTGTGTGCGAATGAGTTATCTTTTTCATTTTTAATTGAAACAAAAGAAAAATACCTCAAGTATTTTTTTTCTATTCTTTCATTAAATAGACAAAGATTTATTTGAGTTAAAATCCAAATAAATTTCAAAAGAATAGAACAATGTTTCAACAATTATTATACATTTTTCTTATTATATTTATTTCATCATCAAATTCAAATCGTATTTCATTAATTGGTAATAATTGGACAATAACTAATAATATAAATCATACAGCACAAGGTACTATACCTGGTACAATTCATACAATACTTTTTGCTGCCAAACAAATTCCTGAACCGTATTTAGATTATAATGATCTTGATTTACGTTATTTGATCTATAATAACTGGACATTTACAAAAAAATTTGATTTATTCTCTGATTTTCTTATCTCAAATCAAATTACAATACATTTGGAACAAATTGATACTGTTGCTGCAATAACAATAAACAATTGTCTTATTGGTAGAACTAATAGTATGTTCATACCTTATACATTTCATGTTGCTAATTCATGTTTAAAATTTGAAAATGAAATTTCTGTTGATTTTGAATCTCCTGTTCTTTATGCATTAAAACAAGCAAATACATATAATGATACAGTACCACCAGATTGTCCACCATCAGTTGTACGTGGCGAATGTTACGTACAATTTATTCGAAAAGAACCATCATCATTTGGTTGGGGTTTTGTAAGTATTGAACTAAAGCATAAAACGAACATGTTCATATAGACAAGCAATTAAATATTTTCTTTGTGCGGATAGATCGAAATTCTACCTTTAAGCTTGATTGAAAATAACTGATAAATTTAAAGAAATTCGTGATCATGTAGTTTTAATATTATATAAAGTCAACTCATTGTTGATTTAACAAAATGAAGAATACTATTGCAGGTTCATATGTATTTCTAATTATAAACCATTAGATTAAACTAATGAGAAAAGTCTTCAGACTATATAATTCAAGACTACATCATTTATATACAATCAGGCATATTAGTAAAAATGATTATTAAATTCTAGTTTGAGATTTTGAATAGTGAAAAAAATAGTATAAATGATAAGCTATTATCATTGGTATAATATGGGAGATGAATGAGACACTTAATAAGAAAGCTTTCATGATTGAATTTTGAAGCTTTAAGTTCGTTTCAGGATAATGCATTATTCAATAACATTTAAGTGATGTGCATAATCTCGATAATTAGTTATGGAGCTTCTTGATTAAATCGTTCTAAGTCATAAAGTATTTCGTCACTCGTTTCTGCCTTTAGAGATGGATTAATGGTCGAAATAGATAAGGAGAAAAAGCGAGACTTCAGAAGTACGTGCTTTAAAAATTTTGAAGTAGATGAAGTTTTAATTTTTCTTTGGAAATAGGTCATTGAGATTGTTCCTGTGTGCTTGTCATATTTATCTTGAGTTGTCAATAAAAATACACATCTCTATATATATATATATATGCATGACTTACAAAGTTGCATGTAAGAGCAGTTTTTCTATGTCCACTAAAATATGATTATAATTTCATTGCTTAAAAAACAAAAATCTCAATACTATGATTAATATGACAACTAAACAAGAGAATACATCTGCTTGAAACTTCGTCTCAATTTTTCACAGTTATTACTGCTCTAAAAATCGAATTTATCCTCATAATTATAATCAGTATACAGATTTCCCGATAAACGTTTTAATATTTATTATATTTTGTAACTATCTGATATAAATCATTTAACCTTAATCAAATAAATTGTTATTCGCATGCATTGTACTCGTTTCTATTAGTACATATTTATAATATAAATAGTTTCAATAATTTTTATACAAATATATGAAAAAAATGTCTTTTCTTTTAGGGTCCAACTTTCGCTCCTATTGGTATAACAGGTGACATATATCTTGAAGCAGTAAATACAACTGAAATAGTTATTCAACTTGAAAGTATTAATGTTGCTTCCTACAGTGTAAGAACTAAATCATGGCAAGTTGTTGTTCTATTAAGTAGTAATAATGATCAATTCGAGAGTAAAATAAAATTTATCTTAGAAAATACAACATGGTCATATGAAACACTTGTCATATTTAATCATAATCTATCAATTACTGTATCAATACCTGATAAACTTATTTCACGTTGGTGGCCAAATGGATATGGTGATCAATCATTATATAATTTTGTTGTTTTCAATCAAGAAAAAGTAATTGATTCACGTTTAATTGGTTTTCGTACTGTTCAACTAGTTCAAAATAAATATAGAACAGGAATAAATGGAACATCATTTTATTTTGTTATTAATTCTCAATCTATATTTATTAAAGGAAGTAATTGGATACCATCAGATTCATTTCAAGAACGTGTCAGTAATGAAAAATATGAACGTTTACTTCGTTCAGTACAATTAGCTAATATGAATATGATACGTGTTTGGGGTGGTGGAATTTATGAACGTAATTCATTTTATGAACTAGCCGATCGTTTAGGTATTATGTTATGGCATGATTTTATGTTTGCATGTAGTCTGTAAGTTTATTTTAAAAAAGTAATTCTTAATTTAAATCAATATTTTCAAAAAAATTTAGTTATCCTGTTAATGATGAATTTTTAAAAAATGTTCATGATGAAGTTATCTATCAAGTTAAACGACTTCAATCACATCCATCGATTGTTCTTTGGTCTGGTAATAATGAAAATGAAGCTGTTATTGCAGAAAATTGGTATAATGTATCGCAAGAAAAAATGAATAAAACAAAAGACGATTATAGAAAATTATATATTCATACTGTTATGAATGCTATTCAACAAGTTGATCAAGGAAATAATCGACCATTTGTTAGTTCATCACCATCGAATGGACTTGAAACAATAGCTGAAAATTATATTGCTCACAATCCTGAAGATTCGCTCTATGGTATACACATAGGAATAGAGTTCGATCTGTTTTGTTTTCAAGAAAAATTATATTTCTTATAGGTGATGTTCATTTTTATGGGTATCAGATTGATACATGGGATCCAACAACATATCCAATAGTACGTTTTATGTCGGAAACAGGTATTCAATCATTGCCAAGTCTAGATTCATGGCTTGAAGCTACAAGAAATATATCGAACTTATATTTTAATAGTTCGTTCATTCAAAATCGTGAACGTTTTCCTAATCAACTCGATCCAATGATGTTTGTTATTTTAATTAATTAAGAAAATAAGCTTTTTTTTCTTCTTTTATTTTTACTATCTAGAAAACAAATTGCAATGAATTTACCATTACCAATAACAAATGATCCATTTAAAAATTTTACTCAATTAATTTATTTAAGTCAAATAAATCAAGCCATGACATTAAAAAGTATAAGTGATATTTGTCGACTTCATTCATCAGTAGACATGATTAATCCAAAAACAAGTCAAGGGTAAATTTATTTATACACATATATTCTTTTATATTTTTCTTTTTCAAAACTTCTTTTTATAGTCATACCATGGGTATAATGTATTGGCAAATAAATGACATGTGGCAAGCACCAACATGGTCAACAATTGAATATGGATTGAAATGGAAGATGGGTCACTATTATGCAGCTCATATGTATACACCTATTTATCCTATTACTACTGTGACACCTTATTTAGCAAATATAACAGATGAAAATGCTCAACTTTCAATTGATATTGTTAATGAATTAATAAATGGTACTCATGGTGATTTAACATGTTGGATTTATACATTAGATACAATGATGACTCGTTTAACATTTGGAAGTAGTATTTTGTTTAATTCATCGGGTATACAAAATTTTATGAATCTATCTTATGTATTATTAATGAAACGTGCTCATTGTGACAATAATAGTCAATGTATATTGCATTGTATATTCAATTCTAATCATTATCAAGTAGAACAAACTTTATTTTTAAGTCGACTAAAAGATTATCAAATCATGAATCCAAATCTTAATATTGAAAATATTGAACAATTATCATCAACAGATTTTAATATTACATTAACAGTTGATCGACCAGCTTTATTTGTCTGGCTTGATATAACAGCTAATATAACAGGTTATTTTTCACGAAATGGATTTCATATGTTTGAACCAAAAATGTCTATTAATTTTCATTCATGGATACCAATTATAAATTTTCATCAGACTAACTTTGAGATACGTTATACATCATTGTTTGACGTTACATTACCATGATAATTTTTCTTTTTCGTTTCTTTCAAGAAGTGAATCAACTGTAGAGATCATCAATAAAGAATTTCTTGTTTAAAATTGTATTTTTTTCGATTGTTACCTTCATGGACTATGTAATTTTTTATTGACCTTGATAAGCGTCTAGTGAAGGTGAGTGTTAGAAAAAAAATCTAAATGAAAACTATCGAAACTTTTCCAATTTTTCTCATAATTTTGCTAATCTAGATTTTTGTTCAATAGTTATAGTAACAGTTGATACCCAATATGGATTAACTAAAAGAGTCCTATAAACAACTATTATACTACTAAAAGTTCTTTTCCTATCGATGCAATTGTTCAATCTTCACCTATCTTAACGTAGCCATAGTTTGCCATAAGCTATGCACTTAATTTAATGCAAGTTCATAATTAAGACTGAAACAATCCAAAACTATTTCCATTCAGCGTAGTATTAAGAAATGGCACTGACTTCTTTATTATTTCTTGACTTATCTTTGATTCTTGTTAAAATATTAATATAATCCTATGCAATAATGCACATACCTTTACTCGTCGCGTTTTTTTAAAGCTGTACTTTGGTGCTACTGAAAGATGTAGGCGTGGGTGTGTGTAGGTGTAGGTGGGCGTAGATGACATTATCCGATTACACCCACATCCTGTGGTATGTCTAGTGAGACACATCCTGACAAAATCAGAACAGAGAAGACTTTCTCACATATATTTAACATTCGCAGTGAGCTACACCAAATACTCTACAAATAAAAACCCTTTTTTTTTTTTTTGAAAGGTGTTAGAGTGATGTATGCGGAGCGATGTTTCGGTTTATACCGGCTCGTTTATTTAGAGAAAAACATCGGTATATATATAAGTGACGTGAATAAAAGAAAAAGGAATACAAGGGTTAATCGAGGTCAGAAAAGAGATGAGATGATATCATACGATATCAGTGAATACATATATCATATAACGAAAGGAGAGAAAATAAAGAATCGAGACATATGCACTGTAACAAAAGGTAAGCAAATTTTTGCTTTCTGATTCGCATCGTGCCTGAAGTATTTCTACTTACGAGCTTGCATGAGTATGAGTAAATATAGAAAGCTGTTTGCTTCTGTTCTTTCTTACAATTGTATTGAGTAAGAAAAATAGTCCACGTGTACATTGTATTAGTTTTGACTTGATTGCGAATATGATCAAGAAGAAAGTAAGACATCGTTTAAATACATTTATACAAGGAGAACATCATAGTACTCATTGATCTTTCCTGGAAAAATATTCTTTAGTATAGAAAAATTAAACTTTTCACTCTGTTGTGTCTGAACCAATACCGGTTATTGTGAATTTGATCTTTATAAACAAATTTTTTGAAATAGTCTATAAAGCCAATCCCTTACAAAGCATGAACTATCTTCATAGAATTTGTTCAAACTAATTACTATGGTAAAAAATCGGTGTCATTAGCTAATGAAATAGATGTTGATAAATCAATAAAAATACAGTGTACAAAATTCGAACCCAGAATATGCAATGTTTTTCTCCTTTCAAAACATAAAGCGCACGTCAACAACACAATTCAATTCATGCCTTAAACTTTACCAATAGGAATTGATGGAATGATTGTTTTTCTTTCCAGCTTGTTTTTTGGGGGTTTTGTTTTCATCGAAAGAAAAATACGATGCAATCACACTTTTAAAAAAATTATAATTGTAAAAGAATCCAAATATACGTATTCTTTATCCATTCAACTGTTTGAAGCAACATTTTGGCTTTCACTAGGTATGCACCAGTGTCAGTTAATTGGGTATATATCTAACTATCTATGATTTACTGAACCATCGGTAGTGTAGGGACACTCAAAGGTCCTCGAGGTATATACTATAGCGGTACCCACAGGTCATTAAACGCTATTGTATAGGAGTATCCATAGGTCCACAGGGCTATACAGGAGGGGCAATCAAAAGTCTTTACGGGATCTCTCATAGGGGTGACCATAGATTCTCATCTATGTATGCCTCTTACTATACGCTTTGAGCAGCGTTTCCGATTAGAGGGTTGGAAGGGCTTACACGTAATCAATTTCAGACTTTCTGTCAAAATCCTTGATAATACTTTTCGAGAAATCAATTAGTTCACTACAGTAGAAAACTTGTCATTTTGCTGTAACCAAACGAAAGCAGACATGCTCTTTGCTAAATTCTTGCAGAAAGTCGTTGGTATTTGTGTTGAATTTTCTGCAAAACTTTGGAATCTCTGCAGGAAACATGGCAAGAAATGGAATAGAAATAACACTGACTTTGTGCGATGAAGATGATGGAATTTCTGCAAAATTTTTACCCTTATTCGCCCCACTGTCAAAACCAGTCGTCCACCCTACCCTTCAGCACATATCGGTGACTCTATATAATAGACCTTGAAGATTTCTGTGTATCCCTATACAGTAGGCTTTGAGAATCTATAGGTATCCCCATATGATAGTCCTTCAGAACCTTTGAGTGTCTCTAAATTACCGATGGTTTAATAAATCATAGACAGTTAGATATATACCCAGTCTCCAGTTCTGAACTGGCATTGGTGCATACCCAGCTTTCACGAATTATTTTCTTTTAGTAAAGAACGAGAAAATTAATTTCACTTTTTATTTGAGAGGTTTTCGAATAAAAGCATGAAGCCAATAAGATAGAATGTCATTTTTTTTTAACAATTAAACATTTTGTTTGTGTTTTTCTTTTGGCTGCGTTTGCATACGTTTCGATATGATAATCTTCTAACTATTATAGAGTCGGGTGTGACATAGAATATTGTTATTGGATTATCATTGTGCAATGATAAGCTTGATTTCCTGATCGACAATTAGGTGAATATGGGTCAACACATATCTTTATCTGATTGTAAAATACCTGATTTATTGGCAACGAATAATCAACAATCGAATGAAGTATCATCTGCGAATGAAACAGAAGATATTCATTTATTTTTACCATTTGACATCATCAATGAAATCAATAAAAATTACACTTCCTTACCTAATCAGAAGATTTCAAATGAACTATTAATTACAAAAGATGTATTGATCAATCAAATTCGAAATGATATATCTGATTTCTCGAATTTATTTGGAGTTAAGAAATTCAATATGGAAATTGCAGAAATAATTAAAAAAATGTTCGATCATATTGCAACAATGAATACCAATCGACAAAATTCTATGCAATTGATCATAAATAAACAGGAACAATTGAAAAATTCCTATAGTGAAAAATTAAAAGACGATGAAAATGAAATGAATTCAGTATTTTCTGAAACATTAATCGATAGGGAAAAAAAATCAGATGAACAACAAGTAAATGAATTATCATTTTTTGCTGTTCAATCTTTAATAACTATGCTATTGATGTTACTCGAATCAATACATAAATTTGACTCTACTATTATTAATGAAATGCTCAACTTGACAAATCAACTTTTTGAACAAATTCCATTGAATTATCTTTCATCCGACGTTTACAAACGATCAGATAATTTATTTAAATCTTTAAAACCATTAACTAACTATATTCAAGAATTATCAACACAAACTGATATCGATCCAATTGTAGCAAATCAATCAATTAAATTTTTATTTAATTTTTCTGTCATGAAGGCATCATTCAAAGATATTCTACCATTAATAAGAAAATTAATCTTCAATACGAACGATATTTTTGATATAAGAAACTTACTTATTAAATTGAACAAGCATCTTACGATGATGTTAGATCGATTCCAAAAAGAAAAGCAAACATCATCTATACCAACAACTATACCACAGAATAATACTACAGATAATAATATCACAACTCAAATTCATAATAGAACGGGTAAGAAAAATTGATTTTGAATTGAACAAAAGATAGTCATTAAGATACTTGGCAATAAAATGTATGGATATTTAACTCGTACCCTAGTGAAAGTACTCACCTAGAGAGTACTCATGAGTACTCGGGACTTTTTAGTACTCGTCGGGCGTACTCACGATGAGTTTCAAGTATATGAGTACTACACATCCTTACTTTTATGGCAGTGTATTCTAGTCGAGCACTACGACCGTTCATTTCTTATAGTTAGTAGCAACTAGACCATTTAAAGTTCCGGTTTGTTGTCCTTCGAGACCCTTCGTAGACTCTGGATAAGTCCGCTTCTCTACAACGTCACAGTCACAGAAGGAAATTATCTTGTTAAAATTGTGAATTTACCGTCCATAGAAAGTCAGTGCACGACATCTTTTTCGTCCTAACACATTCCATTCTGTATATTCAGTCTTTTCAGAAAAAAAGACGACGAGTACTACAATGAGTACTCAGGGTCTTGCCTATAAGTAGATGTGTAGTGAAAGATTCGTATGAGTACGTATGTGACTACTCGGTCATTTTACATACTCATAAATTTTTGAGAGTACTTGCTCGAGTAATTTGAGTACTCATGCTGGCAAGTCGTACTCTCTGGATGGGTACATTCACTAGGGTAGAGTGCTTATTTTGCTCAATATTTTTATTCAAAAAAAAAAAGACTATTGGAACTATCATAAAAGATTTAGCATACTTTTTTGTTTGTATACTTGTTGAATTCGATTTTTCTCTTAGAAGCAGTATTGCCAACTGAAAAAGCATTGGATATTGAACAGAAACTTTTAGCTGCTGTAGAATATCTTAAATTAATTGAAGCATATCCAGATATACAATTAATAACATTAAATGAAAATAAATTCACTGGTCAATTCATATGTTCAATATTGCTTGTTCATATTGATTTACATAATCAATTTCATGCAAAATCAAAATTCGAACATGGTTCTATGAATGGATCGTTTTCATTTGAATTAGAAACCGAAACATTTAAATATCTATATGATATAATCGAACAATTAACCATAGTAGTAGAAACATCATCCGATACGAATCTTGGATATATTTTGAATGTTTGTTTAAGATTGCTCACAACACATTTACAATTTTTAATAGGTGCAAACTTCGATAATTTTCATGATCTTTTGAATGAAAATGACATTGAAAAATGGTTCACATTGGTATCCAAATTAGCTTTTGATGATAAATTAGAAGAGAGAAAAAAAGAAGCTTCACATGCATTGATTTATTTGATTGAAAAACAAATATTATCATTTGGTAAAATGTTAACATTCATTCATAAGCATATTATTGAAAACCGACATCCGATATTAATTGATCAGTTATTAAATAAACTAAATCAACAAGTATTCATATATAAATGGATTGAAATTCTTTGTGATGATCAAGATACACAAGACAGAACATTAGCATACATAGTCTTACATTCATTCATTGATATTGTCTTACAATCGACTTTCGTAGACATTGAAAAAGTTAATAGATTACGCGAAATTATAATCATATTTCAAGAATTACTTTTAGTTTATTTCAATAATCAACCAATCGATATATCCAATGAACTTGAATCATCTGCTCTATCAACACTTGGCATAGAATATACAACACATGTAATTAAATCTTGTCTTCAACAAGAAATTCAAAGTATTTTATTCGAACCACTTCTTCTTGGTCTATGTACTCTTACTGAATCAAAATTTAATTTTGCTGTCATACAACCAATTTTTGCTGCTGTCATGCCATTATTTGCCGAATATATCATACAAACAAAAATCGATATCAACGATAAGACAAATTATTTAATTTCATGGTTATTAGGAAAGATGAGTCATCGATTAATTGTTGGTCCACCACAGAGTCCATTAGAAAAAAAATATAATAAAACATTGAAATTACCATTATTTTCTGGTGGATATGAAACTCTAACAACAGATATAAATTCATATCTATCGAATTTATTCAAATCTGATTTAAGTATTTATAGTCGATTTTTTTTGCCTTTACGACGACAACAATCAATATTAGACAATGATTTTTTAATTTCAGTCTATCATAATATTGATCAAGGTGCAAAATTAATATCAAAAATGAAATTATTCATTCGAAATAAACAACATATCTTAGAAAAATCAATTGAAATCATTGCTAATGATGCCTGTGCTGCAGTATTTGCCGTTTACATTAAACATTATCGTCGTATTGATCTAGCTCAACATGAATTAATTCAACCAATTGAACAAAAACCACATGCTAAACTTCTCTTACTCTATGAATATGCTAATGAAATACGAAGAATTTTTGCAGCGACAAAAGCTCGAGGTGACGATTGTGATGAACTTTATAAAAAAATTAAAAAAGATACATTATTATTACTCGTATCGATTAGAGAAAGTTCTTTCATTGCAAAAATTAAACAAGATTATTCATTACCAATTATTACAACGAAAAAATTTCAATTACAACGACAACAATCACATTGGACAAAAGCAAAATATATTATTCGATTACTTCGTAATACATTAAATGCTTGTATACGATTAAAATATTTAATGTTAGAAAAAAAACGAGCCGTTGAAAACAAACAAAATAGTGAAAGTGTTATGCATCGAGCTATTTCAAATTGTCTATATGGAAATGATAATATATCGATATTTATAGGAAATGAAAAATTGAAAATTGAATTCAATGAAATTGTTAAATGTCTTATACGACAATATCAACGTACTATGACTAGATTGATTACCTATCGATTTATTGAACAATTAATTATTTTGAGCAAAGATAATAATCGATGTTTGAATATTTTGTTTATAAATTTAAAAGATAATAATTTAGATTGGCATTATCTTGAAAATATTCAAGCATCAAATAATCAATTGAAAGAAGATATTGGACATCTCTATTATAAAATTATTAAAAATATATTATCATTTTCAATAGAATCTAACATGAAAACATTATGTGTATTGAATCTCATCAATCTAAACTATGATTCGATGGATTTATGTTTTTTAAATGATTTTCAATTTATTCAAGAGTTATTTAATCCATTTATTAGCTTGATCAAAATAGATACGACAAATGTTGATTTAATGAATATAAAATTCACAGCATTCAATTGGTTTCGTTTAGTTGTATTAAAAGTATGCGAAAATATTGAATTAGAAGAATTACGAAATATGCATTTTGGCAATCGGAAATTTCGTCGTATTTTAGAGCAACAATGTAATTTAATTTTTAATAAATTAATTTTAACTGAACTCAAACAATTACAACAAAATCAATTAACATGCGAAGACTCATCGTTGAAAAATGTTTCTTTTCGTTATTTTGTTCGATCATCGAAATTCGATGTTGATGTTTTTATCGATCGATATTTAATGCTTCTACTTCGTTGTATTCATTTATATGATCATATTCGATTGAATTATGCTACAATGGATTATATTGAGCAATTGTTTAATTTATATCATACAAGTCAATCTCTCGGTACTCGTCTGTTAACATTAAAGATTCTACGTGATCTATTGATATACTTATCAGACGATACGAATAGATCTTTTATTGAAAATCTATTAACGAAAATTTTATTTTCTATTGGTCAAAATTTTAATGTATTAGAAACTGAGAAAATAGATCTTGATATTATTATTGAATTTATTTATATCTATCGTACAATTATATCATATAATTCACCATGGCAAAAGTTTGCAACGAAATTGCTCGTCGATGCAATAAAATCCTGTATGAATTTCAATTTTACATCATTAGAAATGGTCGAATTACAACAAATGAATTTCTTTCTTGCATCCATATGTATCTTAGGTGGTTATGTTCAACCGTATTGTTTAGGATCAACTGTAGAAGTCTATCCAACTAATACAGATATTCAAGAATTACAATCTGCAATTATAATTGAAATTAATATGGATGCTCTTGAATCAGATTCATCCGATGTTAAACCTTATCTCGTACAATATGCAACCACGAATCAAACTGAATGGGTTTCATCGAATCAAATACGTATCATTGTTGATGTTCAACCACCGAATCTTTCACTTTTACCAATTGATAATGCAGTTCATACGATTCTTGATACATTAGGATTTCTTGTACAAACAATTGATGTATCAACAATTGATTCATTAATATTATTAGATATAAAATGTCGTGTCGTAAAAGCATTGTATGATGTATTGAATTATAAACAAGTTATTGAAATTTTCATGGAAAAACCTTATGCATCAATTATTACTAAACTATCGACTTCAATGGATTATTTTGATTCAATTCATAGTATAATACCAAATGATTTACGATTATTTAATCAATTACATTTAGAACAGTATTATTTAAGTTTAGATAGATTTGTAAGAAAAAATCAAATAGTAGAAAATAAACTTGATATTATTATTCATAATAAAAATGGGTGGAATCAAATGAAAATTATTCATGATCCTATTATTTCACAATATTTGTCTGAAACAAGTTCGATAGATCAGAATTGGAAACCAATTGCATCTAAAAGTGAGATAAAATCCTATAAAAAAGGTCGATTAGGAAATGATGATATTCAGATTATTTCTGTGCCTGTTAATGATAATAAAGCGGTTTTAGAAGAATGTGGTATCAAACATAAATTTAAAGGACGAGTTAATATAAATGATGATATTGGAAACATTCGACGTCGAACTTTTATTCCTGATAGCATAGAATTGAACGAAGGAAAATGGTATTTTTGTGTTAGATTTCCACTAGGTGGCGCAGCAGTCATTGGCTGGGCAACGAAGGGATTTAACCCATCGCTACATGATAGTTATGGTGTCGGTGATGATGAATATTCATGGGGCTTTGATGGAGCAAGTGCAGTTTATGATCGTAATCGACATAGAATATTTCATCGTAGAAATTCCTGGGATGTCGACGCTGTATGTGGCTGTGGTATTGAAATTGATGGTACAAATACGAATATTAAATATTGGTTAAATGGTAAATTCCTAGGCACAGTATATTCACATTCGGAAAATAAAACAATTAAAACAAATTTATTACCAAATGGAATTTTTGCTACTTATTTTCCTGCTGTTACTGTTAAACTCTATCGTAATATGGCTAATACAGGTGTTTTTGAATTTATTTTTAGTCCAGAAGATATGACAGAATGTCCTCTACCAAAAGGATACAAACCATTATTAATGCCAAAATTATTGACAATGGAAAATATACTAGTAGCATATCCTTATAGTGCATATCTCATTGGTAATGATATTCAACAATATTTCTATACGAGTCGTTGTCCGAAGAATGATTCCAAGGACAAGAAAATTTCTTTGCTACGTGATTTTATTAATGATCAACATTTTGAAGTTCCATTCAATGTTGATATGATAACAACGGATAATAATCTATTAAAACTATCTAAAGAGAATGATGGCTTTCTATTGTCACTTGATAATCATCAAGAATTAACTATTAGTTTTGATTTTGAGATTAGTGCAACAGAAAATCGTTGTGATGAACTTGATATTGTCTTATTTACATTAGATGACGCAATATTTTCTATTCATGTCTGTATGAATGATAATTTCATCAATGAAACCAAGATATATCGACAACATGTTGCTATTCTATTTCAAATAAATAAACAAGCAAAAGTCTATACTAATAATAAGTTTCAAACATTGAATTATTATCATAGTTTTGATTCAAAATTGAATCTACGACTTTTGCCATGTCTAAATGTTGGATTTCGAAATTTGGGCATATGGACATATCTATTATCGGAAGAACATATTCAACGTCTTTTTACATATGGTCTCTCGCATGTTGCTATCGATTATCAGAAATTAAAGGAATATCAACAACGATTAAATACAATTGAATTCAAAGCAAAACAAAAATATTTCACGAATGAAACACTTGTTCCATTTAATGAACCATTTAAGTCGGATCTATGGGAAGAAACAAAACAATCGATTAATCATGATGAGTCAAACTATTTTAAGACCATTCCAGACACGAATCAATCCATTGTACAACTCTTCGGAAATAAAACTTATTTAGTTTTAAATACTGCAAACCAAATATGGTCTGAATATACGTTAATTCTAGATATTTTTATACCAAATTTTCCATCAGCGAAGAACCTATTAAATAGTGAGGCTCGATTAACATTATTGACTTTGGACAATAAATCAGAAATCTATGTAACGCATGATGGCCATCTTCATGTAACAGGAGAACATCAAAGTTCATCAACTGTAAAATTACAAGAATATATTCGTTTATTTATTTCTATTCAACAAAACTCGATTCATATCTATGTCAATGGTTCTTTAGAAGTCGATGTATCAATTACTGAAGATCAATTTGCAACGAAATTGAAACATATTGATCTATTTCGAGAGTTAGATTTAACTAAGAACACAACTAATGATGATCAATTACGTATTGAATGTCGATCGATAACATATTTGAATAAATCAACTCATATACTTTCTTCATCAATGAAAAAATTAATCCAATCGATTGAATATTCCTTAGATCAACTAGTTGCACCTTCATTTAACATTCTGTCAACAAGTCTCATTGGTATTGGTTACAAAGAACAATCAATCAAATATGTTATGAAAAAATATAATACGACGAATATTTATTTTATTGATAAGATTCTACGAGAAGAAACTCAATCTATAGAAAACATATGTCAACAAGAGCAACAACAAAAAAGACTTAATATTTTAAGACGATTGAGTTCGTATGATGAAAATAGAATATTACATATGTTAATCGATAACGATAACGTTACAAATAACTCATCAGTATCGATATTGAAATCTGAAATAGACAACGATGATGATGATATGCCATCCGATAAAAAATGGTTTTATGATACGATTCGTTCTGTAGGTATTTGTGATAAACTAGATGATTGGTTTCAAGATAAAGAAGTGAATAATCAATTAACAGATGGATATCCTGGATATAAACTTCTTGATTTAACAAAAGCAGATTCTGATGAAATAGAATTTACTAATAAATTTAAGAAAACTATGACAACATCATCACATTATGTACATCGACAAATATCATTCAAAACCTATATTCATTCACGTACAACTTGTGAATATGGACTAATAACAATTTATGCACGTCATACAATATTGAATATGTTAAAAGTCTGGTGTAATGATGATCATTCAAATTTATTTCCACTTTCGAAATTTGATGATGGAAATCTTATTGTTAAGTTATTACGATTCATGCATCATCATCATACATATGCAAGTATGTTGGTTGATGCAACTATCAATAGAATGGATCTATTGATAATATCGATAATAACAGTTGAATTAAAAGACTTGTTAAAATGTATTGTACATGAAAAACTTACTGTTGAAATATTCAATAGAAAAGCTCCAGTATTTTTTCAATTACAAAAACAAGCTATTGAAGAATCAATTCATTTTCTTATTGAACCATCGTTAATTGATATAAACAATAATAATGATGCAACTATTGATGAACAAATATTTATCAAACAACCAAACTTAGATTTTCTTCTAAAAATATTTCATCTCTTTTCAGAAGTATTGAAAGATTTTGAAGGAAAAAATTATGACGTCGATTTAGTGACTCGATTACTGTTTCCAGGTATTGTTATTAAAATACTCTTTGATCTATTTCTATTGGTACCTTCACATCAATTGAAAAGGTTCATCCTTGACCTTTTTACTAAGTATGTTGTTGATATTCCTCACACATAAGCTTCAATAGATACTGTGAAAGTCTTCGGTCACTGTCCAAGACTTCAACATTTTCTTTTGGATCATGATGATGAAAATGAGAATCCTATTCAAGTTTGATTTCGTATTTTTTTATATTGTCTTCTCTTAAAATAGATTGATTCAAGCAAGTGAAAATTTCAAACTTCATGACGATATTCACAATTTTCTTCAGCATCTACTTATAGAATTAGAAGTGAATGAAATGTATCTTGATAGTTTAGCATTGAAATTTTTTCGACGTGCTCTCATGCGGTTAGAATTACTTCTAATGGAAAGAGAAAAGCAATTGGTTTCATCAATGAATGAATGGTCATTGTTCCTGAAAGATTTAGCATTCGCTCTCGATCTAATCAATATTTTAACAAATAAAACAAAATCATACCAATGGTCCGAACTATTTTTTACTCAATCGAAAGAGATTCTAGGCGAAAAACTTACATTAACGAAAGAAATGCTTGAGACAGCTCATATTCATTTTAATAGAGCTGCTGATGAACAAGTAATGAAATTTATGAATCAAAATATCAAATTCGACGATAATTCATTATCACATGAATTTAATATCAATTTCATCGAAACTCTACCAGCTGAGTCAATTCCTGATTCGACTAAATATGTTTCATTTACTTGCTTATGTAATATACCATCGGTGTGTATACAAACACGTGTAAAATTTCTCTATTTATTCAATATTTCTCTCGAAAGAACCTTACCAAACATAGACTTTAGTGTAACATCAGGCATAGGTTTTATTGTAGATCGAATTCGATCGGTACGACATTGTATATTATTTGTAACAAAATTTGAAATATTCAGTGCAGCTTTAACTAAAACTGCCGTTAATTTGGAATCATCAGAAGTAAATATAAAATTCGATATTGTAAAAGCTAGTGTAGCTGAACATCCTGAAGATACCGTGTTCTATCAAGCATATAAACAATTAAAATCTGATGCATCTCGAATATTTCGACGAACGGAGAATGAACAAGCCTGGAAAGCAATCTATGTTGGCATGTTTGGTGATGATCAAGGCGGGCCCTATCGAGACTCAATAACACGAATATGTGCTGATTTATGTAGTACACGATTATCATTATTTATTCTTTGCCCGAATGGACGAACAAACAATGGTTTGAATCGTGATCGATGGATTCCCAATGTTTTTCCACCGAACCGATCCATACCAATTGACATTAAAAATCAATATCGTTTTGTTGGACAACTCATGGGCATGGCAATACGTACAAAACAATATTTAGATGTTCGATTTCCAATTTTACTCTGGAAACAATTGATATACGAAGAAATTACAATTGAAGATATCGAAGCTATTGACATTTCAAGTTTTGCAATTATCAATGAAATGGAAGAAAATATTCGAAAAGTAAAAAGTCTCAATGAATGTGACGATGATGATGATGTGAATAACAATTGTGATTATTTGTTTAGTAGTATTATGACTGAACTTACATTTGATGTTATTAGTTCAACGGGACAAACTTATGAACTTATTCCAGGTGGTTTTCATATACGGATAACTGCTGCCAATTTCGAAGATTATTGTATGCATTATCGTCAATATCGTATTAATGAATTTTATCGACAAATTGAATTTATTCGTCAAGGTTTATATAGTGTCGTACCATGGGGTGATTTGACTTTATACACAGCTCATGAATTAGAAGAAGCTGTTTGTGGTAAAGTTTATATCGATATTGAAATGCTAAAACGTCATACAGATTATGATGGAGATCATGAATCTTCGCCGCGTATTCAGCAATTTTGGTCAGTTTTAAGTGACATGTTTAGTGAAGAACAGAAAAGACTATTTTTATTATTCGTTTGGGGACGAAGCACTTTGCCATATAGCGATAAAGATTTTTCAACGAACTTCACAATAGCACGTCTTGAAATAAGTGGCAATGTCGATGAAGCTCTTCCCAGTAAGTTTATTTCAATAATCGAGCTCTAGATAAATGACATTTACTTATGCTCGAATAGCATCATTGTAGTTTCGAAAGATTGAACAAGTAATAAGAATGATAATTATTATCGCGATCATTTTTGCCTTGAAAATCGAAAAAATATTGTGAATTCTATCATAGTCATGAATTGAATGTATTATATGATTTTTTTTCTAGAATCGTATACATGTGTCTTTACTCTTCAATTGCCTGCATATTCAACTAAAGAAGTCATGTATGAACGTTTGAATTATGCGATTACTTATTGTTCAAGTATCGATACCGATGGACGTATGAACTAGATTTCTATAGGTATTGATCCATTATTGTTAAATTTCAACTTCACATTACACTGCAAAAATCAATTTAAACAAGAATTTTGCGAGCCCAGTTATTATGAACATTCCCTTAGAAAATTAGCTCAATGTTACAATTGATATCCATTTTCGAGTGAAATCATGCTTGTTTTTTCTAAATTTATAATAATAAAATAAATCGAGAATATATAAAAAAAAAACTAACCGTTGTGCCCAACTATCTGATAATTTTCTTAATTCGCTCAAGAACGATTTCTCAAAAGGTCTAAAACTAAGGGGCTCCTTTCAAGTGTTTACTTCTTGTAGTCGAAACTGTAGTGTGGCCGAGCGATTCGACAATCTTCTATTTATTATAGAAATTCGAACTGCTTTTACTGTTGATCTAAATCCATTATTCAGATATCCTCATGAAGAAGAAGAGCTACTATTTCCGGGGATTTGCTTCGAGATCGATTGGGTGGAATTTGACAAAGACGAAAACAAACACTTGATCTATTTAACTCTTCAACAACGGCACAATAGTAAGTCAACATGACCGAAGAATCTATCAGGAATATAAAAAAAAAATTACTCTATTAACTCACGTCTTATCTTAAAGTTTTTATCATCTTTTTCTCATCAAAATAACCAAGATGATATTTTATAAAAATAAAGAATAGTAATTATGCGTATTAGATGTGGGTATGGATTGGATGTGGATGGCATTTCATCATCTAAACCTATACTCACACCCTCAGATATTCCAACCCCGCGAGACATTTTTTAGGAGCGGTGCATATCTCTGATCAGTACTGATTCCATCTCTGTTCAAAAAACATCGTTTAACATAATTTTAGATGTTTTCTAAATAATCTACGCTTACAAACCATTAATGAGCTTAAAAAAATCATCATTCTTCTCAACAATATATTCTTACATTAGCTATTGCATTCAATTCGTACAGATAAGTATACTAAAACGTAGAAAAATAATAGATATATATGGAGTGGCCCAAAAGTAAGAGAACACCAACATCGTTTCAACCTTTTTCTATGTATAGATCCATAGTACGATCTTATGTTTAAACTACATATACTAGATGACAATACTCAGAGAAAGAGTCTATTAGCAGTCTTTGGTTGTAAGAATTTGTCGGAAAATAAACGAATATCTTCTGTATAATCTTATATGACTGTCGCATAGGTTCGCTGTTGTCTAATCGAAATCAATGTCTTGTTTCATTATATTTCATTTTTAAGTAGTTTCCTTCACAATAAGTCTGAAACAACATAAAGATCAATAGAATTCAAATCATTCTGTAGATTTTTATGCGAATAGTCCAAAAGATAAAAACACAATACTACAAAAAAAAACTACAAACTTATGTGACAGTTACATGAGAGTGTACGAAAGATATTCGTATGTTTTTCGATGAATTCGTACAATCAACGGCTGCTAAGAAGCTCTTTTTCTCAGTATTCTTATCTAGTATATATAGTTCAAATATGAGATCATACTATGGATTTATAAAGAAAAAAAGTTTGAAAAGTTGTCGTTACTTTTGGATCATCCTGTATATATTAATCTGTTTTCTTGACTACTCATTTTCTTCTGACTAGAAAAAGGCGTTTATCTTCTGTTGAATTTTCTCTCTTGAAATTTTATTGAGAAAAACAAAAACAAATATTTTTATTTCCAAACAATTATTCGTGTCTGTTCTATATGAACATTTAAAAAGCATGCGTATTGATTTGGTTTGATGATTTGAGTGAAATCATAGTTTGTCATTGAACTATAATAATGAAGACTGATTAAATTTGATAAATGAGTAAAACCTCGTTCTATTGTTCGTTCTATACGTAAAACTTCATCAGTTGTTGTTTCCTTGTAAAGATTTATTGATAAGAACTGAAGAGATGGAAAGTAAGTTTCATCCAAAAAGTCGATACTTGCATCAATCCAATCGAAGGCATTTAGTTGAATGAGTGTAGACGATCGAAATTTAGCCGAAGCTATTAACTGATCGATACCACCGAACAAATTAATTACACGAAGTTTTGTTTAAAATGGCAATATGCGTGAAAGATACACTCCTGATGTTGTCAAACAAGTCGAAAGCGACCAGCAATGCCTTGAAATAGAAGTGGTGAAGTCGAACGCCACATTTCTATGTTGAGATCTTGAACCTGAAATACTCAATAAATTTATTATTCAATACTTACAGATTTCTTTTTACATTTCAATTTCTGTCATTTATTTATTCACTTTTTCTTATTGCAACAATTCTTTGGTTTTCATCTGCTCTGCAACTACACCAACAACCACCCACACACCCACATCCATACCCACAAAATAAAATATAAATGTACTTTGCTAAAGATTAAATGGCAAATAAATACAGTTTTATTCCGCTAACGCGTTTCTTATTATTTATTCAAAAATTAAACACTCATCAGGACTCTGCATTATAAATAAGCAAAATTCTTAAGCAGTAAAATTTTTGGAAATTTAACTAAACGTTTTGACAAAAAAAAGTGACAAAGGCTTTCAAAAGGAATATTTTAATTAAAAAACTTATCTTTGAAATAGGTCATCACGACTTGTCTGATGCAATGTGAGAATTAAGGCTAACTGCTAAACGTTGTAAGACAGTTTGGAGATAATGGATACGGTTCGTCTTTTCTTTAATTCTGATATTGTACGCACTACATAAGTATTAAACCAATGTTTGTAGTAGATGTATAATTTAATGTATCTTTTCCAACATTGTATTTATCTACGAGATGTTAAAATTCAATGATTATTCTGTGTGCATAAGAACTATGTCGTCCTCTACGAACAGAGTATATCTAATAAAACATTTGACCGAGCCGAATAATAAAATAACCTTTTTCAAATTTTTTTTTCGTTGTAATTATTTCTAATTTTTTTGCGAGTACACTTTTTTATTTTATTGTATGTAATTAATAATATATTCATTATAGAAGTCATTCATTTTTCTGCACGTACTTCTTTCAATTTTATTCAATTAATTATTTGTCTGCGTTCCTTATGATAAGGTGTATGTGAAAGTTGTGTTTCTTTTTTATTCTTTTCATGGTTTCATTTGAGAATTTTGTCAGTTTTTTCTTTAAACTGTAAACATACTAGAATCTAAAAAGCACAGCTTGATGAATGTTTTTATATCAATAAATCACATGAAACGTATCAGTGAATTAAACTGTACATTTCTTAAGTTATATCTTATGCAAATTATAATAAATTATTATTTCAGCATAGCTATTTAACTTCGACAAAAAGAAACTCGATTACCGAAAAGAAAAAGTTGAGAATAGCAGTTTGTATTTGTCTTTCTTCGAGCTAGATGGATCAGTCTGTTTTTCGATTGAGTTTCATTATTACATAAATAAATAGTACGAAACGTGTCAGTGCAATTAAACTCTGCATTTAATTACTTATTTAAATCAAAGCACACTTTTATACATAATTTAACTTTCGACTAGGTCGATTGCTGAAATGCGAGAGTTGAGACTAGTAGATTGATTTGTTTTCTTCGTTAAAAGATAGATTAATCTGTTTTTGAATTAATTTAAGTATTGTTAAATCTTCAATAGTGATATTATATAAAGGAGTGGACGAACAACACATGATATCTAATGGCATCTAGAAGCAGAAAATTCACTAATTAAAAACAGTTGATAAAAATGCACATTAAAAGTTATTATCATTTTATGTTTCTCGAGAGAAAAGTTGCATATACAAACAATACATTAACATTCGGCAAAATCTATACATAACCATTTATCGTTTGTTCTATCGACACAAACTCCCTCTAATTTTGAGCAAAGAAGTTCCCATGAGTCTCAAAATTTCACTGAATTCAATACCATTTTCCGCTGCAAATTGAAATATATTCACTATTTTATTAAGTTTTATAATTACTCGGTGAATACATTGGATGCAAAATAAGAGATCAATGTACACCGATAAGAAAATATTATTGAGACGTTTCATGAATAACTATTCGCATTATCAATCAATGGTAAAGACAAACGTAAAGGTACATAAAAATAATACAAAAAAACAAGCAAAGAACTTGTGAAGAACGGAAGAAAATACAATCAGCGCATGTCTTTTTTTTACTTTTCACGATGATGTGAATGGTTGTTCACGAAACATCTCAATAATATTTTCCTATCGGTCAATATTATTCTCTTATTTTGTATTATGTTTACTGTATTAAGAGCGTCGGATGTATCGAGTACATATTCTAACTTTTGTTGTAATTTTTCTTGGATCTTTTGTATGAAACATGTCAATCATCAATAGGACTATGTGGCATAGCAAGTGTCTCAATGGATTTTTCTTATATTTTCTTGAAACAGACACAGTATCTAGAACTAAAATCAAGAAAAAGTTCAGTTACATAACTAAGTCCATTCAATGTAGTCAGTAACTACACTCAAACCATATACACATCAAGCACATCTGATATTCATCTGATTAACTCTCTTACTATCCAATACCAAATTAGTTGTTTAATTTATTAAAGAAGAAAAACGACTAGCGAAGTTTTACAACACAAGGTTCCATGGAAATACTTTGTGTCATTTTCAGTGTTATAAAATATTAAGAATTAGAAAGGAAATATGAATGTCAAGCCATGCCGAACTCATATTTGCACAAAATGGTGTCTGCGATTATGTATTTTTGGAGCCTTGGAAATGCAATCTGCACAAAGATCGTAATGTTTGTGTTTAAGCAAGCATTCAGAACACGCAAAACGACGATTTCGATTCTTTTTGTCACAATTGTCACAAAACCAGCCATTATTGCGTCTTACTGGATATGTCCATACCCATTGTGGTGTTCGTATCACCCATGCCCATTGTTGTACTGGTACTAAGATTACTTGAGCCATTGATTTTGGTAATGTTGATGATGATCGTTCTGTGATTTATGGATCTGTATCCTTCAAAGTAGATTGATGTTGGGAATGTAAAGTAAAAGTGAATAGAATGAAGACAAAAACATGTAAATATAGCTAGACAAGAAAATCATTCATGCATGACTACACGTCATATTGGTTTCTTCCTCGATGCATATAATATTTTGTCATGCAGTTATTGCTCTTATTTCAAAGAGTATGAATAATAATTTTTCATCATATGAAAGAGCTGAGTGTGAGTGTGGGTGTGTAGAGAGTTACTACAAAACTAAAAGTTCTTCGATTTTACTTTATTATTAAGATTTTTTTCAGATTGAAAGCATCACACGATACATGTTTCATCCTTGCCTAAGGGACTTGACCGGCATGTTTACAATCTATAAGTACATATATAAATCTAAAGCTCCAAATTTTCGAAGAAGTTATAGACCAATTCGTATTAATCCAAATAACAACATGAAATTATTATTTAGATAATAGTGAAATATAAGAGTTGAAGTTCAAAGCATCACACGAACCGTTCCGAATGCTGCTTACACAGTCCTCCTCATCAGGCATGTTTACGAACTATTTTTGCATACAAATCAAAACTCTTTAAATCAATAAAATAGTTATGAAATATAAACGTAATAGAACTTATTTTGAAAGTAATAAAAAATATACAGTTGAAATTGCAAGCATCACACGACGCTTCATCCGTACTTAACGTATGGATGAGGTATGTTTAGATTGTTAAAGATTTTCGAGATTGAAAATCTGACAGGATGCGTTGCGACCTTGCTGATGAATCTATTGTCTGATATGTTTACAATCTATTATTATATTTAAATCCAAAACTCACCAATAATTTGAAGAAGTTCAGAACTATTTTGTAATAAGTCTGTGCATGTGCATATGCGTGCGAGTTGGGTATGGATGTGGCACATGGTTGTAGAGCTACGATCATACCAACACTTACTTCTTTCCGTTCCATCCACATAATTTGATGATATCTTCTGTTCTTTATGTACAGCAGAAATTAATATTATTAAGCTTTATTTAAGAAAGCAAAAAAAAATGATACAATGTTTTTTCTTGATTAGAGTAAACTACAATAGATAAGTATAGAATAAAGTGTTCAAGTATATATTTCGTTTGTCTTGTCATTTAAATGAATGGCCAGAGTAACCAAAAATATATTGCTCGAATTTGAGGATGATTTCTAATATGGCCTTATGGAAAAACCAACTGGTGGTGCTGATGCCGTTGAAAGTCGTGACTCGGATAATAAGGACAAAAATAACAATGACTCCAACGCAATAGTTCTTCATAAGTACAGTGTTTATTACCCATTCCTATATTTAACTCATAGAAGCTTTGATATTGTGTTTAGTTTCCAGTATAAAGACAGCTGGAAAAAGTTAGCGTTTTTGTATATAAGCAGCACAAGACAAAATACATCCAACGGAGTTTCACATATAAATAAAATATTACACATTACTTGCACTATATCTTTCGCTTTGTTCCATCGACTCATACTTTATTTCCAAAAGTATTTCATAGTAAAGAAAGACAACACGAACATCATATAATTTAGAGTGAAAGATGCAATACTGTAAGCTAAAGTGATTGATCTGAACCAAATTATATCAATGTGCTCACTGTTATATCAACTAATTCAAAATATGAGCTGTTAATAACGTACATAGACTGATATATTCCAGTTTTCAGAAATTTACAGTCTGTTATATGTCCATGGTACGAAATTTCATCAATATTTAGTTTTCTTTTTTCCATCAAGACTGCGGCGTAGAGAACGACCATCCACATAAGAACAAAAAACATGCATATTAAAAAGCAATTTCTACGCAGTCGAGACCAATATTTTTAATTATAATTGTATAGATTATTATAGATGATAAGAGTCTCGGTGAATCACACGACGCGTTTCGCTTGCTGTTCACACAGTCCTTATCAGGCATGTTTACAAACTGTCATGATGCATAAATCAAAACTTAGAAATAGATAGTATAATTTTTAAAACTCAGAGATCGAAACGACACATGTTTCGTTCTTTCTCAAGGGATACGACGGATATCTTAAGAGTTCTATTATTACATTTTTTCCTTAGCTCTCCATTGAAGTGAAATAGTCGAGAGACTAACTGAATAACGCTGAAATCACTGGATGACGGAAATGAATTACATAGTAATTCAAAAAAATGAATTATAAAATAATTCAAATTCTATTAATATGTTCCAGCTAATTGACCAGGGACTACCAGGGATTAGAAGGGCTATCAGATGCTAGAAGGTGCTAGCATAGATTTACATTTTATTCTGTGCATATTGCGATATTTTTTAAGATAGTCTAATCCAATACGTCTTTCTTCTCTTATAAAGTGATCAAAACAACGGCAACTTTTCAAATTTGATCTTCTTCAGTATGCAAATGAAAGAAAACAAAGAACAGCTATGAAAACTTGATCTTCGTAATAAAATAACAAATTGATGTATAGACAACTTTCTTTTTTTTATCACATGTTCAGATAATTACGTTACAAGAAATATCACAAATTATACTACAGAGAACACAACTGTTACACAAAAAAAATTGTCTTTTATTTGTTTTTCGTTCAATCATTCAATCATTTCTTCATCATCACGTTCGTGTTCTTCATAATTGCGTTCAAGAGATTCTACTTTACATTCTTTTTCTTTCGTAATTTCACATTTTTCATTGAGATCAAAATATACACTTTCAAAAATACAAGAACTAATAAAATGTGGTTCAATTTTTTGAGCAAAAAATCGATGTCCAACTCCAAAATCATTTGTCTAAATACCGGTTGTATAGCTGTTTTTCAAATGGAAAAGAATTAACGAGAATAAAGTTGAGGTCGGATAGTTAAAACCTCTTTAAGAAGAATGAAATTTTGTGAAAAAGGAAAAAAACACTTCACAAAGAGAAGTGTTAATATTTTTAAATTTTGTACCATGTTCATTATTATCAGGGTTCATTATATTTTGGCACATTGGTCTGGTATGATCTTTACGATGAAAACAATCTAACACCAATTGTAAATTGTACAATTTATTCGTAAACTTTATGCCAATATAAACGCAATGCACAAGCATTATCATAGATTAGTGCATCAGGCAGATTTGCTCCAGATTTTAACATGATTAATAAGTGGTCCTGTAATAAAAATAAAGCAGAATAAATTAGTACGAAAACCTTCAATTATTCTTACTGTAACTCGACGACATCCTTCTGATTTGATTGATTCGGTAAAACCGATGACCACATTACAAGATAAGAAAGTTACAAGTAAACCAAATGATAGATTCTTCTGATCTATTCCGATCTCGCTTCGCTATACATTGCACATATCTTCATTATCTAAATCAGCTATTATTTGTTGATCAATTTTATTTGCTTCTTTATATTCATTTGTATAAGATTGTTCACCATTTTTCATTTTCTCAATATATTTTGCATGATGAGAACAATAAAAACCCAATTGATCTGGAATGTAAAAGTTCATATAACTAGGCATGCACTAAAACCAAAGCTGCTTTTGAAGTTTTGGTTTTGATATGGTTTTGGTGTTGAAAGTTTTGGTTTTGACAGTGATGGTTTTCATATGGTTTGGTTTTTAAACTATGATGTTTTTCGAAGTATCTCACAACAATGAGTAATACCACTAAAACCAAAACTTTTGGTTTTGGTGCATGCCTACATATAATGATTTCCAACATAATGACTATTAAAATTAATTTATTTACCTTTTCTTTTTTCATCTTTTTTTGTTCTTCTTGGTGCATATGGACAACCTTGAACAACAGGTCCCATCTCTGGATGACTCATGTTGGTTACATTGTCAAATTGACATATAATACGTGTGCATTTTTGACGACCATCAATCAGCATAACCCATGAGCATAATTCTTCTTTACATTTAATCCCATTAATAATATGATGGTTTGACCAAAATACAGTAAAGATGCGAAATAAAACAGGTAAGTTCTTTTCAATAAATATTGATCTTGTTTCTGGTTGAAAGGATTTTGGAAAGCTGACTGATGTTTCACAAGTAGTAATAAAAATAAATCGACTGAGTTCATAATATAGCCAAACAATTTCTAAATGTTTTGCAAATGTATTTGGTGAATACATTGGTACTTGATATGGATGTAGATCACTAAGGGTTGATATGTAACTTTCAGCAAAATCTTCAAATGTTGTGTGAGCATGGATAAAACTATTGCTGAAAATTGTCAACAATTGTCGTAAATAAACAAGATCACCAGAAAAATAAACATAATCGACGCTTTGAATTAATTGATGAGTAATAATTATCTGATTAGTATGTTGATCAAGAATTGATGATGGTCCATAAATGCACTTACAGTGTCGACAAGTACCAATATAGATTGAACATGATTGCATGAAAATTAAATTTGCTATATGATCAGTTCTTGAAAATGCAAATCCAAATTTTGTCCTTTACAATTCATATTCGTATATACATCAGTAAATGGCATAATATTAATTAAATTTTTATCATTACGAAATAAACTAGTTTTATTGGATGATTTGTATCGATTAATAAGTTCATTTATATCTACTATACGAAGTAATTCTTTTTTCACAAGATCATTCATGATAATGACATTATGATCAATTTGTTTAAAATAAATTCTCTTCCTGTTATTGAATTTATTTTTTATTTTATTATGAAATAATCTATTAATTTAACGATATCAAATAATTTAATGTAATAGGAATAAAAAAGGTAAAGTCTATAATGATAAAATTTAATATTGAGTTAAATAAGAATAAGTTAAGTTAAAATTCATTAAATTCTATTAAAATTATATAAATTAATTTGTTGACGTTTCGGAACAGAATTGTCCTTCATCAGAATTTGATGTTATATGATAAAAACATATGATTTTGACAATTGTATATTTTCTTTCTTCTTTTCTTTTGTTCTAGTTATGATAGTGGTACGGATGAGGACAAGATGGTAATACTGGTAGGGAACGACACCTAGGTCTCCTCATCCGTATCGCTATCACCGTTTTGTCCCTTCTGATGTTGTGCGGTAGATATAAATTGTGATCTGTCTTTTCTAACTTGGATTCTTCTTTTTATCTTATTTTTCTCTTGTTGGAGTATTGGTTACCATCTTTCATCTAATTGATCATGTCTGTTTATCGAATCATTAATTATTGAATAAATTGACTCTTTGATTCTTCTTTTTTTGAAATCTATTTCATTATCGATAATAAATGCTGTATTGGTATTAAATCTACATTGATGTAGTTTATTTATATGGTGTTGTACAATCTCGGAATTTTGTTTATCATCATTTTTATTAATTACTTTTTCATGTTGTTTAATTCTATTAATTAATCCAACTTTAGTTTCATTGCTATATATAGCACTACAAGTACATTCAATTTTGTAAATTATTGATTTAGATGTTGGTTTTATGTTGTTGTTAAATAATGAATTCATTTTATTAGGGTAAGAGGAATATAATTTGACATTTAATTTTTTCAATTTTCTTTTGAGTATTTCCATACGAGGAACGTAAGGTAATGTATTAGAATATAAAAATTTTCCTTCTTTTTCTTTTTTATTTGTAGTTGGAATTTGGTTATTATTTATATTATTATCATATTATCGATCTTAAAATATCTTGTATTGATTTTTCGATTTTATCTCTTGGATATTTAGATTTTATTAACATTAATTTTACTTTTAATTTTTCTAAATCTTCTTTCTGTTGGTCTTCATTTTTGGTTGTCTCAATTATTCGTGTGGTCATATTTTTAATTATATTGTATTTTATTGATTGTGAATGTGCTGTTTCATAATTAAGTGGTTTGTCTGCAGCTGTTGTTTTTCTGAACCATCTAATATCTATTTTGTTGTCAATTTCACTACGTGTTAATGTAGCACCAAGGAAGTTTAGGGTGTGGGTGTGGGTCTTTTAGTCTTCTATCCACTCACAGTTTCATTCGCTTACTGACACCCACCCACCAACAACCAGACTCTGCATAATTGTTATTATGAATGTCATGATCCTTCTTTTTGAACTTGAACGTACCATTTAATTGCCATTATAACATAGAACGAAACATCGAATGGAGCCAAACTAATTGAGACGCAAAATATTTACAGACAAAAATAGAATGAGGATAGATGTGGATGAACTTAAAACTTATACATCACACCCTTTTTACGGTTAGTCTACAGTTGTTAGAGTTTTCTTGAGTGTTTGAATTCGATACACATGTAGCAAAAGGATTATTACTTTAATATGGTTCTCTTACGTGTATACGAACAAATCAATTCTCATGTGGGCGTGAGTGTGGATGTCGGTCTTCAATGTAACGTCACCAACACACACTACACAATCATGCTAACCGATTTCGTCCTTGCTCAAAGGACTCATGATGTAACTGGTATCCAGTGGTGCAGTTAAGAATCTTAAAATAGGAGTGATTTCATGGAGACTCTAGTATTTCAAGGGAGATGGACGCTGATCGTGATCATTTGACGTGTTTTGACGTTTATTAATTTTATTCTCAGCCTATATTTCAGCTTTTTCTGATAAGAAGAAAGGGTTAAAATATTTTTCCAAACACTGCTCTTTCGAGTCTATAAAAAATGTGCCAGTTAATAAACATGTCATTTCGAGGTCGTTCTCTAATGAATACAGAAGTAAGCATAACATTTTTTTAAATTGACTACCATTAAATAATAGCCCAGCAGGACTATTACGATACATTTTTTTGCTGTTTTTCATCCTTCGCAAACGATAACCTAAGGATTATATGTACAATAATGCATGTAGTTATTCATTAATAATTTTAATGGCGAAGTCATGCTATTTATTCATCATAAACAATTATTGAATACATTTCTATCAAGCAAAGGCAAGCACAGTCTGTTTTCATTACCTATTTTTTTCTTGTCATCGGTAAGAGAGTATTCCTTGTAAAGAAAAACTATTTCAAAATTGAAACAAATTATTTTTATAATCAATTTAATGTGATTAAAAGCGGTAGAATTATAATCCAGTTTTGTTTATTTAGCATTTATGACAAACGATTTCTTGATGATTATTCCATTGTTTTCCATCACGATAAATCAGAATACTCGATGGAATTTCTATAATTTTGATTTTAATTGATTTCTAATCGTCTAGCAGATAAACGAAAGTCATTCCTCTGCCATTTAGATTATAAACTGACGTAAGTCTAGCTTCACGTCATAGGTTGCCGTCAAGATGCTCGTCTCTTTACAGACTTTTATGAAAGATAGTAGGCGTCTATTTATCGCGAATGATAATAATCAGATCTAACACGTACGGTACAAATAAAATTCTAACAAAACTACTCTCATGAATCGCATTATATTATCAGTGCTACAATTTGAGCTTTCACATTTTCTTCATTATCGTTTTTATCTTGTTTTTGTCTTTTACGTTCTATTAGTATATCTAGTTAAATACATTAATACATCGTGATTACACTTTATCTTCATCATTATAGTCTTTTCTTTTCATAATCTCTGTGTTCTTCTCCATTCATCACCTTATTGTATAGTACAGATATTCATATGCATTATTTTTCGTATCTTTATACATCTGATCTTCTTTCTTCTCTATATTTCTCTTGTATTTTTGTTTTCCTTTCTCTTTGAATGCATACTCGAATTTAATAAAATATTATCAATTCAATAATACACATATCTCTTCATTTTCTTCTTCTTATTATCTAATAATGATTAACACAGTCAATAGTAACGGTGAGGGTGGATGTAGATGTAGATCTTCTTTCTTTAACATGGACACCCATACCCACATTCACAGCCACAACCACACCCTCAAGTGAAACGAACATGTTCTTCACATCTTCTTAATTATGACACTATTTCTTTTAGAGAATTTACAATTTCAACTGAGTCCTCCAAAACAGTTAGATAAAAGATGATGATCTCCTGATTAAATCAATGATGGTTTTTCTTCAACGGCCCATCTCTCGACCTAACACCACACACCAAAAGCGTGTGCCATTTGCCGACTGCGCAATTGCCGCCCCAATATGTCGATACGTTCCGTTAAGAATATTTCTTCGATGTCCTGGACTATTCATCCAACCTTGCATGACTTCCCCGACTGACGTTTGTCCAGACGCAATGTTTTCACCAACAGCTGAATAATGATAGCCCGCTTGATGAGCACGATTGCCTACGGTCTTTCGACCCGAAAGATTTTCCTCATGTGACAGTTGGTTAAGCTTGGCCATTCGATTGCAATGTGTTTGGGCAGCCTGTTGCAATCGTCGGCTAAAATATAGATGTGGAAGGTGCGATGAGTGGCGAATTTGATTGTGAGCATCGATCACTAGAAAATATAACCAGAAAGCAAATAAACATCAGTATCATTCTCTATACAGATAATCATGTCGGCAGAGAAGCTATTGGCAACTCAATTCAGTTCTTTTTCATCTAATACAAAAAATGTTTATCAGATTACTTTGACTTGTCATTGTTATCACTGTCACCGGTGAGTTTAGAATTTAGTTGAGATTAGAAAATGATTTTGAAATGTTGTAATGTTTACAATAAATGAATCATGCTGTTGTGACTAATATGATGACATTGAATCATTGACTAAATAATATTTTTTGCAATTTCCTTGTGAGTGTTTTACATGCAGCCATAAAATCTTTTTTTTTCTTGTATGATTCATAGTAACGAAGATCAACTGAATAATTTCGAAGAAACCATTAAAGTATAAAATTTTGTTATTAACTATATATTACTTATTAAAAATGAGCATGATCTATACGCAAATTTTGAAAATAGTATGAAATAAATCATAAAAAGTCTACCAATAATTTAATATTGCTATACTTTGTAAACATTAAACACAAGAGTAAGCAAACATTAATTATCGTATAGCTGATGCTGTTAGCATAAATTCTAAACTTGACTGAAGTCTCATGTCAACTTTGACATATGTTTTTCGTTGCGATTAGAATTTGGATGTGGGTGTTAGTTGAATCGAAGAAAAGACATCCACACTCACACCCTCTGAAACTGGACGAAGCTGTTTCTAAATATGAAAAGTTAAAAATCGTAATTTATCTTCTATTGCCACAATTATAGTCTAACAGAGATCTTCTACTTTTCGTATTCTGTATTAATTTAATGATTTTAAAGGATATGTGTAACTCGTCTCAGTTCAAGATTTATTCAAGTTTTAAACTGTATTTGAAAATAGAACGTATTAAATGCTGAAGATGAAAAAGTGAAACATTTGAGTTGTAAAAAGTTTTTTTTGTTGTTGTTAATAATAAGAAAAAAGAATAGGCTTTTTGTCCATTTCTAATAAACTTAATTATTGTATGATTTTGTTTTTCTGTCTTAAAATAACAAAGTCTTATAAGTCTATTTAGATTCCGACATCATTTTTCATTGTTTCATATGCAACTATAAATGAAACTGTCTATTATCAGGAAAGAGACATTTTGCACTAACTTTTCATTACGATCTCCGGACATAAGAAAAAAGATAGGATGTTCAGAATGATAAAAATCAATCAACAATAAAAAAGAATAGGGTGTTCTTAATGAAAGTTGTTCAGAGGATCGAAATGAATTGCGAATATTGATTTTAAGAGAAAAAAATCGTGAAATTTGACTGAAGTTTGGAATGAGAACAATGAAAGATCGTAACAATAAAAAACAGGGTGTTCGAAAATGTGTTCATGTTTGTTGTTTTCTAAGATATGTTAAGCAATTTACTAGCTTTTATTCTAAGAGAGTACACAAACTACGAATGAGGATGTGGAGTGTGAGCATGGGTGAGGATCAGTAAATAGAAGAAATCACCCTGATATCCTTATTCGTCTAGTCAATAATTTTCAATGTAGAGACTCTTCTAATTATATAGCACTTCATTTATCCAGAGATTAGTGCTCTCTATTATCAATATGATAAATAGATTCAAGCACAAAAGTTACAAACATCTTGTACAGCTATTATAGCGTTACGAGTAGAGGCAGAGAAAAGTAGACGTTGTTTATATAATTACGAAGGTATTGAATGAATCATTCTTGATTTTATTTTAAAAAAAAGAAAGCAAAGTCTTTATGATCGTTGCGAATACCAGAAGAAATGAGTAAAGATCTCCTGATAAATTGGATCTTGAACATTCCGTCTTTTTCATTCCGATTCTTGGACACTACTCCACATATAGTAATGATCAATCCATTCCGAATTTCTGATAATAGCTCTCCGATCTCCTGTACAAAAAGGATTATGAACTTCTGTCGAATATTTTTTAAGGCAAAAAGTCATTTCCGAACACCTGGACACATGTCTGTAGTTCAGAATGACTTGGTGCGAAATGTCCGTCACCAAATTCATTTAGTAAAATAACCGTTTGATTTAGACTGATTTCCTTTGTTAACGAGATACCAATTCTACATAAACGTAACTCATTATCAATGAGCTCAATAATTCATTGAAAACGGCCCGATTGATCTTAAGTAATTACGTTATTACAGAGTCAGATATTTATATCTTGCTTATTTCGTTGAATTCAATGTAATTTCATTTCATAATAAATTTTTTTTCTATTTCATAAATGATAAAAAATAATAAAAATCAAAGCAAATATCATTAATAGTGAAGAAATTGTTTGTTTATTTCCATCGGCAATTCGTCTTCCGTTAGCATCTGTTAGTTCATTATTTTTTAATACTATTTTGATTTGTGAAATGACTCCATTAGTATTGCATAAATTACGATTACATTCGACCTCTAATTTTGCACGATCCTCGCGATCATAAACATAAACTCTGGGTCCATAACTTTGTTTACAACCACATGATATAATTCTATTTTCTAGTTGATCATAATCTATTGAGCATATTTCATCAGATGAACATATGATTATTTCATTTTTTTCATATTATGACTTTGAATTGAAGTATTTTTTAAAGAATTTCCGATAATTGGAGCAAGCTCTCCGTATATATCTCGTGCATTATAGACACGACCAACCATTTCATCGATTCTATTCGTTCCATATTGAAGAACACAATCAGTTTTTTTCGAACATTGATAATTGATTGAATAAGAAAGATAGGGTAATGATGAAATAATAAAATAATCTACCGATTCTGTAAGACTACTAAAAGTTACATAATACAAATTCGTGTGATAGTCAAATGTCATCAATATAGAGCAAACAGATTTTGAAACTCGTTGTTGACATTATGCAGCAGGAATATTAAATTTTTGATCAAAGAGATGAACGCCAAGTGAACAATTAGTTATACATTGGAGAGCATAACCAATATTAGGAGTTAACAACAGAACTAATAATAATGCGAGCATTTTCTTTTTTGTTTAAAAATAGAAAAAAAATGTGTTTTTGTATTCCTTATCAACAAATATATGAGAAGGTCCGATGATAAATATTGTTTTACTAAGCAAACTAACGTCAGAGAAGTACAATCTAACTTGATTATGATATTAGTCAAATTGCTATGAGACGTAGATAAGAAAATATAAGCTCAAGCTCGTTATTCATTGCACTTTTCTAAAAAATGAGTCACTAATCAATCAAACGATAATTAAATAAACGTTTATTAATATTGAAAAGACCAAAAATCTAGGTAATTATGAATATCATTTTTGTAAATTGAAACACATTGTTCAAAACTGAAAAAAACAGAACTTAATAAGTTCGATAGTATGGTTGGACTATAATGATTATTCAAATAGGTTTGGTCAATTTTCGTCGATTTTATTTTGGTCCAATTTTTTTGTGTTATTTTTTACATGCTGAATTAGATATATTTTTACTCTAATTCACATGTCTTAATTTTCTTCATACTAGAATTTTCGGAAGATATTTCATTCTTAATAATCAATCTCGATTTGAACATTAATAATTATTGATCAATATCTTCGGCAAATATTTGGTGCATTTCATCGTTTTTTTCTCCAAGGAAAGAACAGAAAGAGGGATCACGTTGAAATGTGATGCACAACCAACAGTCTTTACAGTATGGTTTTTTTTTCTCTTATATTTAAGCACGGTCAGTAGATAGTTATCATTTCGCATATTCAAGTTGAACAAGAAAGCTTGTAAATGATCGTATAGAGTCATATTCTAGAATATCACATGGCTTCATCGAACGCCACAAAAATCTTCTATACAATGAAATACATAGTGCATACCGATTTCGTTTACTTCATCCTGGATACTTTCTTTTCTCCATAAAACAAAGAAGTGAAGCATTCTTTAAAAGCATAAATTCATCAGTAAATCTATGTATGAATGTGCTTGTTTGATAAAGAGACAAACGATTATAAGTACATGGTTTCATCTCGGAGGTTTTTAATGTCACATGAAATATAAAGATAATTATATGGCTTTTTGACCTATTGCAGTATATATCACAAACATTTGATATGTTAAATAAAAGTTAAAGTTTTAGTGATACATATGTTAGTGAATAAGAGGATGTGGGGTATGGGTGTAGATCTAGACCAATCTAAGAGCTACGATATTGTCTATATATCTGTAAAACAAATGAACATTATTTCTTCGATTTTGTGAAGACATAATTACGTAGACGAGAGTGTGGCTGTGGGTGTGGCTAAGAAAACAGTAACATGATACCAGCACCCAATAGCCACACTCACACCCATTGAGCTTAAGTCATGTTTTCAAATCATTTTGGCTTGGTCAGTAAGACCAAATTTTAATTTTGAATATAACCAATTTTTCTAAGTTTCAAGGAAGGAAATGTTCAACAAGAGTTTCTCGATTAGTACATTCGACTTTCAATCAAAATTCAAATCCTTTCGATTCGAGAACGACTAGAATGCGATACTGATTCTATAATTTTTTACAGAACTGTAGATTGAAATCTATTTAGAATCTAATTTAACAAATATTTTTTTAATATTTACCGAGATAAAAAGTAAAAGCTAAAATAAATATTGAAAAGTAACTATAGAAAAAGCAAATTATTTCAAATAGACAATAACTAGATAGATACAAATGATCAAAAATGAGAATTAATATAAAACTATATTGACAATAATAAACATCGATTTATGTGAATTAGGAAAAACAAACAAAGTTAACAAATTTCTCAGATATTCACTGTGAAAATGAAAATTTGAGATTTTTTTTTGAATTTTACAATAACATATCTTAATTATTTCATAGAAATTATTTATAATCTTCTTTAAGAGAAACATTGAATTAAACATACAAACCACATATCCCTCTGGAAAAAAAATAATGCCACTCGTTATTTTTAATATATCATCACTATAAATTAACATTTTGAGAAAAGTAATTATAGATTCGGATAACCCATAAAATTCTCTTTCATCCTGTACTTTTGTTAGTCGTGACTTGGATTTATTTGATAACAAATACTTCGAATATTGTTAATGTATCTAGGAACGTGATACGTAGATGCATTAACAATACTCGAAGTATTTATTATCAAAAA